TCCAATGACTACTATTTAGAAGTAGAAAAAGCATAGTAAACAGAACTTACATTTCAAAATAGTTTAAAAAGTTTAAGCTAATACAAAAGGTAATGCTAATCAATTTTCAAAACTTGGAATAACTTTCACTGACAGTGAATTAGGAAATGTGGTTCAGAATAGCATATATTTTCAATCATGTTTGGGTTGGCATCTTAAACATGAATTAATTTTGTCCTTTAAGGATATTAACTGCTACTTCTTTATTTAAAATTGATTTTAGAAAGAGAGCGAAGGGAGAGAGAGAAACACCAATTTGTTATTCCACTTATTTATGCCCCAGTGGTGGATTCCTGTGTGTGCCCTGACTGGGGATGGAACCCACGACTTTGGAGTATCCGCACGACACTCTAACCAACTAAGCTACCTGGCCAGGGCCTTAACTGTTATTTCTTAGGTTAAATTTTAGGGGGGAAAAAACGGAAGCTGAGAAAGTTAGTCCTACCAACTTTAAATAACTCATTAAGTTCCTAGTGAATATAAGGCAACTGTTACTAAGTAACCACGTAATAGGTATTATTAAGGTTTAGTCCAACTCTAAAGGCAGTTTATTTTATGTTATGAAAAACTGTTAAATTTCATTGGAGATACTAAGTTAAACTTAAAACTAAATCTACCAGAAAGAGTAGTCAAACAGGATTATATTTCAAAGTCCACAATAAAAGTAGACTCTTGAAACCCACTACCTTCAGTGCTTCTCTGTTTTTAGAAATTAGAATAACTAGTAGTTTGCTATTTTTAGCAAACTATTAGTTTTTCCCTCAACACAAATTATTCCACTTAATTTTTTTAAATATTTCTAAAACATTATGTTAAAAATAATAGTCAACAAAAGCCTAGTGCCCAACACAAACTAAATTAAGATGTGAATTATAAACTAATTTATCACTTAAGATATAATCACTAAAACAATGAAATATGTGATTCCTTCTGGCAGTGCTGGTAATCACCACTGGCATCACCACAGTGTCCACACACCAGTTTCTAAGCCTGTTCTATACACGCTTATCTCTTGTTTCTTGTAGCAGCTTGTCTAACAGGACTCGTTCCTCAAGGGGGTGTTCCTGGGGTTTCAGATTACAGTGAACAATGGCTGGTTACTCAGGCCCCCAAAGTAGGTTACAGCAAAAATGATTTGAAATTTTCCCAGAGAAATGATCTCACGCACAACGTGATAAATAAAGATGACACCACACACTGCATCAGCTCCATCAAAACCATGCAGACTCTCACACTACTTGTATGACCTTGGGCAAGTCACTTAACTTCCCTGGGTCTCAGCTTCCTTATAGTGAAATGGGGTGCCTACCTCTCCTGACTGTTAACAAGATTAAAGACTGAGAGTTTAGAAAAACGCTTGACATATAGTAAGTGTTAACTGTTGTAATGACTACATTTTAGAGCACAAATAAATACAATTAGTAACTGTGTAAGTTATGTTATTTACCATAATAATATTCTTGTCCTTTTTTACCTATGGCACTGGAATATATTAAATGCAGGTGGTTTGTCCACTTGGAAACTTTTATTTCAGTCACTGGGTCACAAGACACTGATGGTGTGACATGATATTCTTTGGTATGAATGTCACTAAAATCAATCAACTCCCTCCAAAGAAATCACAGAACAGAACAACACAACATGCTAAATGGTTTAGTTTTCTTCACAACTGAATAAAACAATCTCTCTAACCATGGATGGCAATGATGCTCAATTTAGCACTTTTCAATCTGCAAAACACTTTCTATGCAATGGTGACAGTGCTCCTCCTATCTTTCATTTTTTCTTACTTTCAAAAGAATTCTCCACCTGGGGAGACACATTCTGACTGGCCTCACACAGCAGCACCGTTAATTCTGCCCATTTTTTTGCAGGTATTGAAGTGGTAAAGAGAAATGAACAAACTCTTTTTCTCAACACAAATTCACAGAAAATCTATAGAAATAAAAATGTTTCAAAAAGGCACTGAAAGGCATTAACTTTCATGAGTAAAAAGACAACTTGGCTACTCTCATATAAGCCTTCAAGTTTTGTCAGTGATCTACAGAGAATTCCAAAGTTTTCTGTCTAAGGAACACTCCCTACTCCTCAAGTCTCTGGAGCAGCAACTGCCACAAAACTTTGCTTTTCTCAAACAGAATTCTCTCATATGAAATCTTTATTTTGCAAATCAGAAATATGGAAGTTTGGCAGGGTAATGAAGGAAGTAAAGTCAACAGTAGGTGGATTCCTTCACTTTCAGGAATGAAGATCTAAATATAGAATCACAGATGTTAAAGCCCTAAAGGAACTGGGTTTCTAAGGCACGTTATAAATGGCAAATAACCATAATAAAAAAAAGAAGAAGGCAAAAATAAAGTTACTTTGAAGTTTTCAGTATTTAAGCACCTAAACACTGTCATTAAGGATGAGCAGGGGAAACACTATGTTAAATATAACAGCACAGAATTTGGAAGTCCACTTCATTTATATTCATTTCTCACGGGAAACAATTTGTGGTTTTGCAAATTCTATTTTCATTTGGTCTTTTTTTATCCTTTAGGTGCTAGTGGTGGGACTTACCATTACACTGGTCTCTATTGGAAAGTAAAACACACCAACACACCTCATAAATAGAACAGGAGCCATGCCAACCCCCAGGCTCCCAGGCAGCAAATGCTTGATATTTAGAACCTTCTCAGTGCAGGGATGAACATACACTTCTGTTCTCATCATTGACATGCAACTTCTGTTCTTATTATCATAAATGAGGCCGATCCTAGTGACACTGTACCGGGCCCAACATTTTTACCTCATGTCCCATTCATGAAGCATCACTGTGTGCTGTCAAGTGACAGACATTCCTTGGCACTGAGGAACTTACCATCTGATCAAACATAATTTATTCCTAACCCTCTGGGGCAGGAGCTGAAGATCTTTGTTTTGTAAAACCAGGATTACAACAATATAAAATGGTACAGCCACTTGGAAAACAGTTTAGCAGTTGGTCAAAATGTTCAACATGGAGTTACTGTGTAACCAAGCAATCCTACTCCTCGGTCCACTGTTGACCCCTGAACAACACAGATTTGAACTGCATGGCTCCACTTATATGTGGATTTTTTTTTCAATAAATACCTGTACTGTTTTTGATTTGTGGTCAGTAGTCCACGGGTGCAGAGAGCCAACTGTATGCACTGATATATGCTATTTCATATTGGGAGATTTTGGTATTGTGGGGGTCCTAGAATCAATCCCCCATGGCTGAAGGGCAACTAAATTTGGGGGGCATTAGGTTATACATGGACCTTTGTGTATGTAGAGAGTTGGTGTCCCTAGCCCCCACATTGTTCAAGGGCCAGCTTTGTGTATACCAAAGAGAAATGGAAACATACATCCACATAAAACTTGTATGTGAATGCTCTTAACAGCATTATTCCTAATAGTCAAAAAGTGGAAACAGTCCAAATGTCCACCAATGGATGAATGGATAAATATAATACATGATATAGCATATCCATACAATGAAATGTTCTTCAACTGTAAAAAGGTATGAAGCACTGACATATACTACATGGTAAACTTTGAAAACATTCTATCAAGTGAGAAGCAGATTACAATATTACATACTGTATGAATACATTTTTCCTTTTTTAATCTATTTTTATTTTTTATTGTTGTTCAATTACAATTATCCCCATTGCCCCTCATGACTTTCCTCCACCCACCTCCACGTGCCCTTCAGTAAATGAGTGGATCAAAAATGGTGGTACATTTACACTATGGAATACCACACAGCAGAAAGAAAGAAGGAGCTCCTACCCTTCATGACAGCATGGATGGATCTGGAGAGCATTATGCTAAGTGAAATAAGCCAGGTGGTGAAAGACAAATACCATATGATCTCACCTATAAGTGGAACCTGATCAACAAAACAAACAAGCAAGCAAAAGAGAACCAGAGACATGGAAATAAGGAACAAACTGGCAGTAACCAGAGGGGAGTGGGGAGGGAGATAATGGGGAAAAGAAAGGGAAAGGTCATCAAGGAAATGTTATAGAGGAGGATTGAATGTATGAATCCACTTATATGAAATGCCCAGAACAGGCAAATCCATAGAGTGAAAAAGTAGATTAGTGGCTGTCTGGAGCTGGGAGTTGGCCATTGGTGGGAATTGGGAGTGGTTGCTAACTAAATGTTAAGGTGTATGTTTCTTTTGAGATGAATAAAATGTTCTAAAATTAGATTGTGGGGATAGTTGTACTACCCTGTGAATGTACTAGAAAATGTGAATTGTAATTTTAAATGGGTGAATTCTATGGTAGACAAATTATATCTCAATAAAGCTATTAAAAAGTATACATACCCACACATAAACACATGTGCAGAAGCACACTATAAGGAAATGCATCAAAACATTAATAGAGTTTTCATATGTATAAAAAGAAATGCCACTCTTTAAAAATATGAATTTTTGGAAGAAAAGATTTTAACAAAAAAGAAATTCAAGTAAGAAGGATAAGACCACAAAAAAGGAAAGGGCAGGAAAAGACTATAATTCACCATTAAAGAAAATGCTAAGAGACAAGCATGAAGAGAACAAGCTTTTTATGTGACAGAATGGCCTCTGCAGCAGAGTTCAAAACACAGCTCTGGCCACTCCAGATGTCAGTCGTGAATGACATCATCAACGGACTCCACGATGTCAGTTTCAGGCTTCATGGAAAAGCACTGGAACTCTTCAAGCACCCTTTTGATCTCTTTATAGTATCTCAGTCCTTACCCAATGGGGGCCCAAATCCCCAGGAAGCTTGGAACTGCCCCATGTACCTGGATATTATCCCCATACATTCTCATTCAAGCTCAAACACTGTGTGACAGTCATAGGAGAGGTGTTTACAAAACAGACCATCTCCTTTCTATACCAATGAAAAATTTCCTTTAATAATAAAAGTGCTCAGTAAAAATGAAGAATTCCCTACCTTGAACACATTAAGTTGTTGGTTGATTGTCTCTGTTTCCATAGCAACAGGGCCTTGTGACTCTTCATGGTCTTCGGCTTTCTGAAGCAGAGTAAAAAATTCCTTCAGCTTGCTGTAAAATTCACCAAGACGCTCAACTGTCCCCTCGACCTGCTTTTCTCTGGCTTGTGCTCGGTCCTGCAACTTGTTGCACTGTTTGCTTAAAGTCTCCAAGTCCCTTTTGATTCCAACAAGGTCAGGAGACGGTTCTTCCGTGGCCAGCATCATCCTGCAGGTTTTATTGGCATTGTCATTGCTGGCTATGAGGGCTCCTAGTTTCTTCAGAAAGGCTGTAATAGCCTCCTTTTGCTTTTGCAATGTTTCTACATCTCTCCCCACTGGGGCCATGCTATCCAGTTCATCATCAAATTCTGCAAACTGAGAAAACATTTCCCGGATGGTATTCTGGAAATGCCCAATACCCTGAAGCTTGGTTTCTAAGAATGAACACTTCTCATCAACCTGCTGGCTTAGGGCACTATGCTCTTGAGCTAAGGTTTCTGCTTGTAATAAAACATCAGAGGCTCCCTTTGAGTCTGAGGCCTCTGCCACAAGGTCCTGTGCAAGTCCTTTGGCCAAATCTACCTGATGCTTCAAGATTTGCAGTGATTTCTGCTGAGTCTGCAACATGGTCAGATACTTGTTACTGTAAGCCTGGGGACCTAGAGAATCATGGACATCTAGCTGTTCCTTTGCACACTGGAGCTGCAGTTTAGCTTCTTTGGACACTTCTTGAAATTCTTTAAACTTCTGGGCCATGTTCTCCAGAGAGAATTTCTTACTGTGAAGTTGTTCGGTAACCACATCTACCTTCTGGTTCAGTGACTTATTCTCATCTGTAACAACCTCTTTATCTGTCTCACACACACTGAGCAAGCTATTGGCTGCATTGTTCAGCAATTCTATCATCCCAAAGCGTTGGTCCATTTCCTTCTGCAGAGACTTTAACTTGGCAATAGAATTCTCTGTTTCAGCAGGATCCAGGCAAAATTTTAGCTCCTTCAGGTTATTCTGACATTTATCTATCCATGGCCGAAGAGTTTCCACATGCTCTTTATACTTGAGGGCTTTTTCCAATGAATCTTTCACTTTGTCTTCTCTTTCTTTCACCTGCTTATTAAATCCATCCCAATTGGCTTTAATTGTGTTAAGTTGTAACTGTAAGGCTGCCTTCTCAGGCCCTTGTGTTTTTAATAACAGGTTTTCACCTTCTGCAATGGTTTTTTCATAAATACTAGAATGAGCAGTCAAAGTTTTACGGAAATCTTTCTGATCTTTAATTAATGACTCCAAGACATCGAGTTTGGCTGAGATTGGGTGAGATGTGCTTAGCTCTTCTTTCTTTGTGTCCAGCCACACCTGAAAATCTCTAGACATTTGCTGAAATTGATGAGAGCTGGCACAGGCCGACTGAAGGTGCTGGACATGATTCTCTAAAAATAAAATTACAGGCATGTTTATTTTACATCAAATGCTGATTTAATCTATGAAAAGCCAAAAGGGAAGTCACCAAATAAATGTGCAGGAATGCCTAACAGCAAGGGTTGTGAGCACTGACTATGAGAACTACAAGTGAGCTTAAGTCATTGACAAAGGGGGGAAAGGGAGCAAAGGGTGGGCAAAGCAATAAGCAAAGAGACAATCAAGGTAGGAGAAGGGAGAGGAGGGGCCCAAGACAGACTACAGGAATCAGTAAAACTGCATAAAGGTGCAGGGTGGTGGAGGACAGTCACACACACACACACTGCCTGCCATGCAGAGTCGTCTCTGCTCCAGTAAGTGGAAGTGACAACTGTCCACAGTTCTATGCTGATAAATAATGCATCTCCTATTAAACACGGTGGTTTTGCTTCTATGATTTCTACATCACCACGGAGGCAATACAATGCAGCACATAGGAACAGCACAGGTTTGGGTCTCACCTCAACCTCTGAGGATCTAGAAAACTGAACCCGGGGCAAATGATCAAGCCTCTAAGCCCCATTTCCCCAAGAGTAAACTGGCAACATGAATAAAAGCTGTTGTGGCAATTGAGTGATAGTATAAGTAAAGTTCTTACCTTAATGCCTGTCACATAGAAGAGTTTATAACAGTAATAATCATAATCTTAACAGTTAATATTACCAATATCATGTCAAAAAAAGAGGAGTAAGCCTAAATGGTGGCTTTGATCAGAAAGCAAATCCAATCAATTACAAATATAAACTGAGAATTTACTAGGAGCAAGATACCCCGTGTTACTTTTCAAACAGAACAAACTTGGTAGTGAAATGCACTCCTCTGACAGGCCCTTGTGAAATCCATTTACTCACTGCCGCTGCCTCTGACAAACACTGGTACGTGGGTCACAGAATCGTGGCCACAGTAGTGGAGAGGAAAACAGTGCCAAATGCTCCTCTTTCACATATTTCTCTAGAAATTCGAATTTCTATGGCGGAGTCAGACAAAATAATGGCAGATGAGAAAACGATCCAAAACCTTTTAAATAACAGACCTCATCTGTCTTTCTAGTGAAATAAGACTGTCACACAGCGAAAGCATTTACATCTTTTAAAAGTCAATTTGGAATACCTGGAATTTTAATGGGCCTTCATTAAGCGGGCTCTGCCAACACTGTCCCTCTGCTATCTGCATGGAACAACCCTACGCTGTGTGGGCCTATGAACACAACCGCTCTCTGTACTCGTGTGAGCAGCCACCTCTTTGCTTGTGCTTCCAGTGTGAACAGATTCTCATTAGGGCCCAGATTACTGGGAACAGCTTGCAAACAGGCTATCTGTGACCTCTAGTTCCAGGAAATACATGTGTTAGAAGAAGAAAGACAAACCTGCTTTTTGTTCAATATCCTTAAATGATTTTAAGATGCCTTCTAGTTGCCTACTAAGTTCTGCTTTCAAGTACTCTTCTTTAACCAGGGCTGACAAATCCTCACAGAGGGCCTGGGCCACTTTTATCTGCTTCCTTTCCTGCTGTAGTTCCTGCTGCATTTTTTGGGCTGCTTCCAACTGCTGCTTCACAGCATCGGGGTGTGTGCTCACAGGCACACTGCTGCTGAGTTTATTATCCAGATCACTCAGCTTATCAGAAAGGCTTCTCAGCAGGCTTTGATACTGTGTGCTTTTAACAATGGCTTGGTCAATCCAGTCACATCTGTCACTCAATTGTCCTGTTAGGCTGTCCCATTTCTGGGTCACAGCTGCTAGCTGCTCTTTCACAATCCCATGGAAGGAAGGGTGTTCACCGGGCCGGCTCAGAATGCCCTGGCCAGCTGCTGTGAGCTGCTCATACTGAGGTTTCCGAGTGTCAAATTCTTGCAGCAGAATCTAAGGTAAAGAGGTAATGAGGGCAAATAAACACACAAATTATGGAATAACTAATTGCAGAAAACATAACTTTAAGTTTCTAAAGAGATGGAAATGCTACTTATTTATCTAGTTTTTATTTTTGATTTTGAGTTACTACTTTCCTAGTTTTCAGTTTGAGGACAGTGCAATTATCTGAAAGTAATCCAAAAAGCTATGGAGTTTCGTAAAGATAACATTTTGCCCAACATAATATCCCCCAAAGGGGAAAAAAGAAGGGAATTTTCAGCAGTCTGGGCAAAATGAACACAAAATTCATGTGTGAATTTTCATATACAAAGGAAACACTGCTACTGGACAAGGTCACCTCACACTCACACAAATTTGTTTTTTCCTACCTCTTTGTAGGATTTTTTAAATGACAGCATTTTACACCAAAAGAAGTGCATAGTGATAACAGTGCTAGAATATGTTACCTCATGGTACACTGATTTACGAAGGTTTCTTTTAATGTAAGATTTACTGATAGCCATTATAAGAATGGTTTTCACCAATAAATCATGTTGCTAAGAATGTACAAGCTCAATGTTGGCTCTCATTATAAAGTGAATAATCCAAAAATTTCCTCCTTTTTTAGTACAATATTTTATGTACCTCTGACAGATTACCAAAAGTGGGGGCAATTATTTCCCCTGTGATGTTTATTGACAGGTTTTGTTTTCCTTCTCTTCAGAGTATCTTCGGGGCTCAGGGTCGGCCTCACTGCTCCAATACCACTCAGACATAAAGAAATCTCACTGCAGCCACAAAGGGGCTTCTGCTAGCATGGTCGACTTAAATTCTGTGGACTTTTCCCCTTGTGGATTTATGTGCTTATAATTAGACGAATCTAATTAACCCTCTGGGTTTCAAGGTTCCCTCTCTGCTTTTTTTATTCTTTCTCCCTTTCTTATTGTTTCTCCCCACCACCACCCACCCCCATATCAAGGCTGTATTGCATGAGTTTTACAAGTTTCATTATCTACTACCATACCCAAAATAAACAAAACCTCAAAGGAGTAATTTCTAAATAATAAAAAGCATATACTAGATTCTCATAAAAATGTTATTACTCATACAATCACATTAATACTTCAAAAACGGCCCTCTGTAACAGGGTCTGCACAAACCACAGTCCGAGTGAAATGGTCAAGGGACTTGACCCACTCTGGCTCAGCAGACCACCCTGGGCTGCCTCACAGCCCTGGTTCTCTGGGGCGTCTCATGAACCTCAGGATGGTATCTTATGGATGTCTGAAACATTACAAACACACTCCAAGGCAATTAAAGAACATACTGTCCAAAGCTGATATATTTATAAAGAAAACATTTGTCTTATTAAGTCAAGTAATACTCACCTGCACCTGCTGCCTTTGTGTGTTCAGCATGTTTGGGTCAATTGACAGGGGCCCGAGAACACTGACCATCAGTTCTTTTTCCACAAGCCACTGTTTTAACTGAGCCTCTACGGTCTGGAATTGAGTTAAATTGTTAGAGGATTCTTCCAGTTTTTGTTGTCTATCAACGGTTAATTGATTGAGTTCTTGCCACTTAGATTCTAAAAGAAAAAAGATAAAGGAAAAAACTGGTATTTGGTTTTTATACATTTAACATGATTATATCTAGGAAGACTTCAGGATGTGACTCAAAATGATAAATAATGGCTATCATTCCATATTTATAACTCTTCTTGCAGAGTTGATTAAAGTCTAATCTAAGAGAATTAATTTCATTTATTGATACAGATTTTATGGCCCTGATGGTTACGTATCAACTAAAATAAAAGGAAAGTAAATTTGAATCTGATCTTAGAAGATAATGATGCAGAGTATGGAATATTCCTTAAAGCAAACAGGATCCTGAGTTCCCTCATTCCTTCTAGAAGTCCTACACAGTCTGTTCATTCAACTATAACTGATCTGCTAAAACAATGAATATTAATCCTTTTCTTTAATATTAAATCTCCACTGATCAGTTAGTTCTAGGCAAGTGACTCCCAAATTTTTATATGTTTACCCAATTATTCTCTTCTATTCAAATTGCACATTAGTTACCAGCTGCTTGAAAATTAAACTAGGACATCTCACTAACCCTTTAAACTCAACATTAAAAAAAAAAAAATTCATCACTTGACTTTGGGTGCTGGACATATAATACACACATGATGTATCATAGAACTATGCATCTGAAACTTATGTAATCTTATTAACCAATGTCACCCCAATAAATTTAATAAAAATTTTAAAAATTTTCCTATCAAAATTGGTGTATTTTTCTGACTTTTAGATTTTTTTCAGAGGTTACCTTCTACCCATGTCATGGAGATGCAATGATTCAGAATGGTCTTTCATGACTCTCCCAACTCTCCTATAGCTTTGATCCTAAACCCTTAAACACATCCCTTTATATTTCCAGTGCCCTAACTCCACTTCAGTCTTCACCATGGTTTGCTCAGACCAGTGGTTCTCAAACTTCAGCTGCATTAAAATCACCCGGAGGGATGAATGATTATGCAGGTTGCTGGGCCCACACCCAGAGTTTCCCATCAGTAGGTCCAAAACGGGGTCTGAAATGTTGCATTTCTAACAAGTTCCCAGGTGATGTTGCTGCTACTGTTCCCAGAAACACACTCTGAGAACCACTGGTCGGACCCAAACTATAAGTCTTCCAACTGGTTTCCCTGCCATTAGTGTTTCTCAGCTACAATCCATTTGGTTCTGAAATAGTATCTCTAAAAAAATCACTTTTAAATATGTCGCTCCCTGTGCTAAAAGTCTGGAATAACTACTCACCATCTAGACGATAAAATCTGAAGACCTCTGCTTGACATTCAAGGATTCCCACAAACTGACCTAAGTCTTCTCATCTTAGAAGGTTTGCATTTCAAAATGAACCCTCTGTTCTAATACTGCTGATCTTACCGATATCATCCAAACAGGCTTCTGCTCACACAGGCCCCATACCTGACATGCTCTACCTCCTCTCCATATATCTCAGCTACTAAAGGCCTGGTTTTAACAGGACCCACCCCGAACCCTATCTAACAGCATGGCATGTGGTAGTCAAACACAATCTCACAAAATAATGTAATTAAAATGAAAAATTGAGAGGGAGAAATGTCTAAATCTTATCAGGAAGCTGTTTTGAAGTATGCATTCTTCACTCTAACCCCTATTGTAAAATGCATTAATAATATTGCCCCAAGTAACTCATATCCCAGGTGAGAGCCAGTGAGTTAGGGACAAATTCATTATCATGCAACAGGACTCTCTGTGTTGGATTAAATGCACCACTGAACATTAAGATCCCTTGGGATAACCTTTTTCAAAGTACGATGTACTTCTACATCTCCAAATTTATCACAACATATCTGGCTCTAAGGAAAGACACTCTTTAGCTAAATATAATAGAATGATTGAAAGTAAAATACTTCTTATTATCATCATAGCAAACACAGAGCACTCACTCACTATGTGTCAGGCAGTATTCATCTGAGCTGCACACACACTTACTCACTGAATTCTGAAAAGCAATTCTATGAAGTAGGGAAAACTGGTATCATTGTCTTACACTCATTTTCCCTATTGTTATAGAAATGAAAAGGGGTGGTAACAGGGCTTATAAAAATTCTTTACCAAGGAGAAACCTTTACCAAGGTTTACATAGGGACAAGACTGATACGATAGGATGACTCTGAATCCAGAAGTGAAACCACCAGACTTCTGCGGGGAGCTACTTTTTGACACTGGCTGGGGAAGAGAAGAGCACAGAGTAGGAGCTGGAGGAGTCCCAAAGGGACCCCCATGGAGGAGAAGAGAGCCTACCTTTTCCGGAGAAATAAACTAAAAGGAATCTTTAAATTAAAATAAAGCATGAAAAATTAGAAGCATCAACAACCTAATAAAAAATAAGCAATAATGAAAACATGTCATTCAATGCACAGCATGTTATTAACAAGTATCTATCTTCTTCATAAAAATAAATTTAGTTACTGTGTTTAGAAAAAAAACCTGTAACATAAAATATGCCACATTAGAACAATTTAATTTGAAGTGACACTTTTAAATATGCAAAAAGAGGTTGTGAAACATCAAAGCAAATCCCAAGATAAGGGAGGTTATTGGATACATGTTTTCTGATAAAGATTAGGGCTTTTTGAAAATAAGACCAAGCTTCTGTTCACAGACTCTGGTGCAAGCCACACAACACACCTATTTCAGCCAACATCTGTTTCCACTTGGGGGCCTCGGGAGTCTCCGGGTTCTCCTCCAGCAGGTCTGTCAACTTGTCTTTCAACTCCTGCACTTTGTTTACATTTTGCTTCAGTTCTGCCTCAAATGACTAACAAGGGGGGAAAAATAAAGTAGCTACATTAATGCATGTCCATATCAAAAGACAGCAACACAATTATGATAGAGATTTTTTTTTCTCTAGCATGACCAGAAAAGGAAAAGTTTTGCTCTTAAATGCTGACATGGGTGAGGATCTGGATTGAACAGTTAGGTATTTTCCTTCTTGTTCTCACTTGTCTTCAGTTATCTGATAAAAGAATTCCAAAGGAATGCTATTGCTATAGAGATAATGGCTCACCCCATTACCTAGGAAGAACTTCATATTATTCTCAAATAAATCGTTTTGGAAAAAAAAGAAAAATGACATCAGAAAGATTGTAGTTAACACGAAACTCAGTCTCGACAAGGACTGGCAGATTTGAGAATATGCTAGTGAATAAACACTTTTCTGGACAACTCAAAATGAGTTCAAATATAGGTTAGTAATTTGTAAACATTTTTGCCATCGCTGCTACAAAGTAAAACTATTTCCCCAATATTGATGGCTGTGGAAAGAAATACTGTCTATTAAAGAACGGGAAAGCATGAGCTTCCCTCTTTCATACCAGACAGAACAGATCCCTAATACACTGTACACTTAGCCCTTAAATAAATCATTTCCAATAGTTGACTGGTTAAAATCCTAGACTTAAACTGATTTAAAGGTGGCAAAGTTGCTTATACCCGACAGTTCACTCATCTTTATAATGTCTGTGCACAAAAATAGGTAATTGTTATCATCAATCTGTTCAGAAAGGCACATTAAACCAAATGGCAAATTATTTCCCGAAGGTAATGGAGCAAGAAATCACAACAGGGCTCCTGACCACCAGGGCTCAATTTCAGACGCTTGTCTGTTCTCTTCCACATCTTCAGTAAGTGCACCCCCAGAATATACCTTATTCTGCTCAACTTGGGTCTTCACAGCTTCAGTGTCTGTAGGTGTGGGTGCCTGCTGCCACTTTGTTGCAGTTTTGTTCATCTTCTGTAGCCACTGCATCATGGCACTTGATTCCTCCTGAGCCTTTTGCAATTTGGTGAGTTTACTGTTCAGCTCGGTTATTTTGTCCTTAAGTAAGAGGCCAAGCTCTTCGTAACCGTGATTTATGTCAGTCATATCTTTTTTAATAGATGTTAATCCTATGAATAAGACAAATTATTACATTGACACATTTTCAGGATGTTTAGAGTAGAGCTCTAGAAAGAAAAGTTTGCTTTATAGGATATCCCCTTCTATTTTGTGAATATTAAGCCTACTGTGATAAAGTTAGAATTTTTAGAAGTAATAGACAGGTTAGATCATCTTATAATGCTATTTAATGACAAATAATTTAGGGACACTATGTAATACAAGTGAAATGAAATAGATATTTTAAATAGAATAAAAAAACTAAAACCATGAAATATTAATTTTTCAGGTAGCAAACTCAAGAAAATAGATTAAGTAATATGTCCACTGAAAAAATATCTCATATTAATCAAAAAGAAGGAAACATAACCAAAGGCCAAACTGAACTACTGGATTTCACTAATTTCAGATGAACAAAATTACATAAGATGCCATATAATATATTTATGGAGAATGTGACTATCATATTAATATAATTTTAATTCATTTGATATTTTAATATAACTACTATTCACCTCCAAGAAGACTTCCTCTCAAAAAAGAACACCAATTTATTGTAATCAATAAGCACTTAAAGTTACTATTCACCTTTATTTGCCAAAATTTCCTGAGTATCTGTGGCTGTTCCTTCACCATTTAACATCACTCCACCTGTGAAAATATTACCACTGAAGTCATCACAGATTTCCACAGTATTTCTACACACTAATAGTAGGTGACATGAAGTCAAACCCCTTTCAGCAGTCATTATTTTAACAAGTTGTTACTATTTGAAAATATAAAATACTGATTCAATTTCAAAATTAACTGAAAGTGCAAAATATAAAGATCAAGCCACATCGTTTCTTCTATACAAAAATTCATTCTTCAAGTAGTGACATGATCACCTTAAACATGAGAGTTTCAGTAAATGTACATTGTATATATTACTCATTAATTGTGAGTTTAGAACACGATTCTGTGGTGAAGTGTCTTTGTTGGCAGCCACGTTAGTGATCAAGTCTCTAGGAGTTGCTCAATGCAAGTGTCGCACGAAGCACACAAGACTGATGGACAAAGAGTTTCTGCCTTACTAAAGCAGTTGAAAACCATCAGTGCATTTACACAGTGTGATCATGGTTTGCACAGAGGTAGAGTGATGTAAAACGACAGGACAGAAAAGTTAAAAGTAAAAAGGAAAAAAATCCTATTGCTAAACTCACACTGGGTCTGCAACAGGGACAGAGGAGAGCACAGGGGCTGAGGGCCTGGGCGTCTGCATGTCACTCACCTGAGCCAGGCCCCCCCACCCCCCCCACCCCCTGGCCCCACTCACCACTAGCTGTGTGATTGGACAAATCAGTCACCACCTTACCAAACTGATGGGGAAAATAATGCCAATCTTGGGAGACCACAGTAAGAAATAAATACAGTAAACCTATATTGCCTAGAAAGTCAAAACTGCTCAGTGAGTAATAATTATTATTTCTTTTAATTATATAAATATGTAGCCTTGGTACCTTTTTCCATAATTAGAATATTAAACAGATAATTAAACTCTGTTGTTCAAGTATGCATTGGCTATCTATCCAACACACACAGACATTTTCCAAAACTAACCACATAAGAGCAATTCTAAACAAATGAAACATTTAAATATCTGAATCTTAATCTAAGTTTTGTTCCTTTAAAAACAACACAAACAATGGCATTTCAGATGAAAGAGAAAACGTCCTGTAGATGCTCAAGATTAATTCCTACCATTTTCAGTAGTTATCAAGAATAGAAAAATATTTTTAAAGGGCAATATAAACTTGATTTTCTTTTTTTTATTGTTTATGCTACTACAGATGTCCCTGCTTTTTTCTCCCTGTGCCCACCCTTATAAGCCCTGCCCCCGCCCCTCCAAGCCAATCCCCATATCGCTGTCTGTGTCCATGGGTCATACACAAATGTTCTTTGGTTAATCCCTTCACCATCTTTCACAAATTCTACGCCCCCTCCATTTTTACTTATTGCAAATAGAAAGTGGACATGAAGAACTAAAATAAAACACCACAGAATTCCTTTCCTTAAAAATAAACCTGATATTTCATAAAATCTGATGAGGAGAGAAAAGAAAGCTCATCACATCACATAAAACAGGAGCACGGCCTGGAATGGGGTTCATGGAGCAGAATAAATGGTTGGCTGAGCGCCCCGATGGAACGTCTCTCATGGCAGGGACAGCCGGGGGCTGGGCAGGACACAGAAACCACAGAAACTTTCAGAATAAAGATACAGGATCTGCCTTCTGTCTGTTCTTGGATTTAGAAAAATTAAAAAAAAACACACTGAAATTGACAACAATGTAAGTATGTTTTATATTTAAAATTATTCCCACAACTTAATTTTATCAATAGAATCATTATTTGTACACAAGCCTCCCTTCCTGTTGAAAAGAGTGATTCAACCATAATAAAGATTGTGATTTAGATGTACTGGTTAACATATTACATAATTGTTTTCTTTGTGAAGAGTGTGAGGAGTAGAAGCAGCTGGGAATAAAATGTGAGGTCCACTCTACAGAAAAGAACCTGTTTCCTTCCCTCACCTCCTCTTTCCCAGGAAGCCAGACTCACTTCTACATCAAGTATTTCAAATCGAAGTTTAAATCTCCATTCATTAAGGTAAAAAACAAACAAATCTGATCTGATCTTTCCCTTTCCCAATATAATGCTTCTTCTTCTTACAAATTAATTTGCCTATATTTTAGTTGTAGTCTTTCATAAAATAAAACATGAGCAGGATTTAAAATCTTAGTACAGATACTTTTCCATCAGAGCTTTTAGCATGTTTATCGGTGCCATCTTTCTTGTTATTTTCCTTTGTATTTCTGAGATTATTTTATGCATTGATTTAAAAGATAACACACAAATAGCATGATCATGAGCCAGCCCAATTCTTACGGGTCTTGCCATGAATGTAAACAAAACGCATACCTGATGTAACTGCCGCTATTGCCTTTGCAGGGGTGGTCAAGGCACTTATTAGGTTACATAGTGAGATCCCGCTGCTGTTCACTTTCTGAATCTCTGGTGTTTTTAAACTCCACTCTTCTTGTAATTTCTTGAGGTATAAAAACACATTATTTTTCAGTCTTCATAAGATTTTCAAAGTTACACATTACAATCCGGTTTCTTAAACATGTCTTAAAGCAATAATGGTTGTGGGTCCCGATTCGTCGGGGAGTGGATGGAAGAACAAGGCAGCATCCCTATGTGCTCCAACAGCCCGGGTGACCGTTGACACTGTTAGCAGTGAGGAGTGGAGCAGGGTCAGCTGCATTCTGCTCCCAGCCGCAGTGGAAGCCTGGCTCTGCCTGGCTGCCATGGGTTCTAAACTGTCAACTGTAAGCATGCAGCACTATACCAGGTAACAGTCAGGTTACAAGACCTGTACTGGAAACAATTTAAAAAATAGGAATTCAAAATTCCATTTAAGAGTATGTTTTAATCATCAAAATTTCAATGAATTTTGAGAAACACACACCTTCATAAATTTGGAGTATAAAAATTGGTGCAACTGGCCATAGGTTTTGACGACTCAGATGCCAAAAAGACTTGTACATGTTGTAATGGAGATTAAATTAACTTCTATCTTCAAATATTGGTTACAGTGTTATGCTCAGGTTACAGTAAAATGCTGAGTTAAAGAGTGATTCTATTACTTAACATTATGAGACATGGCATAAAAAATAGGCTGAAACTAAGTAGAGATTTTGTAAGGAAGGGAAATTAGTTTCTATAAGAGTCAACAACTCACTAACCATCTCTTTAAAAAAAGCAAATTAATTCCTCAAAGGATCAGATAGCCCCATGCCATGATTTCCAAATATAACCAAAACATACTGTACCTACATGAGGATCTAACTTATGTGACACTAAAAACAAGGAAACCACTATTAATCTGAACCTCTAATTACCAACACAGGCAAATGAGCAATTAGTATTAGACACGATGATTCACCTTAGTTTCTTCCAAAGATTTTCCTAAATCTTCTGCACCAAAAGAAGGCTGCACAATGGGAACTCTTTCTGTGGTTTCTTTTATCCATGACTTTAATGATTTAACCAGGACTTGGAAAGCATCCATCTGTTCTTGACAAGAAGACACAGCTTCTTTTCTAGATACAGAAATTATTGACGAATTTAAGCCACAGAAAGGAGATGCTCCAAAGGACTAATTACTATTAAGTATTTTTTCTAAAATCAGGTTTAATATTAAGAAAAATCTTCCTCCACGTACACTCTAACCATTTGATACAGGAGGAAAGGTTTATAGGTAGTAAATGAAATCAAAGGAGAATTTGTCTAATTCTCAGAGGCAAGGTCTATAGATAAAGTTGAGAGAATAAATCTGTACCCCATATGTAATGGCACTCCATAATGCTACATAAAGCCTATATAAACAGTTTTAACATTATTTAGATTCAATGAGCTTTGATCTGTCCACTTTATTGGAGCTTACTGCCAGCAGGCACAGAACCAGAGGGGAAACATTTACACATCACAGACATGAGGAAAACATCCCGCCACCTAGTGGTTCTCACACTATACTACAGTCACTTTAGTGGATGGATAAAAGCAGGTGCTTTTAAAGCACAGACTTCAGGCACCAAAAGAGGTTAGACCTAGTGGCTGAAAAGTTTTAATGGCTGTCTCCCCTACAGATATTGAGGAAGCTCCTAGGTTAACTATGTGGATCTTTCTTTACCTCACTCACACCACGGAGGGGGGAACATGCCTAGCACCGGAACAGCTGTGGAGACAGTTAGGCTGGGAACGTGGACAACATGTGGGTAACATGTGCACATGTGCAAGTGTGTGGAATACTGGCACATAAAAGCACACTGCGGCTGGACTAATTGCTGATGGCTGCATGGTTTTAGAATCGAATCCATTTGAAAGAAACAACCTAGAGTTTACCTAAGACAACCAAGATCATTTCTTCTGTTTAAAATATGGATTAAATATTATATGACAAGATGGAAAATGGAGCTCCTTAAGAAGTACAGACAGCACTCAGAAGCTTTAGGTAGAGAATTATGAAGAAATAACAAATAGTTGAAAGAGAAATGATGATTTTCTATTTGGGGGGGTCTTCAGTATAAATGTTAGCAAAACCAGATGTTCTATGTGTGCTAAACTCACATGAGATCAGAAACACAAAAGTTCAGTCACAAGGCTTAGCCCTGTACAGCTTCATAGCTCAGCTTAGGTTCATTCTCTTGTTTCTTATCTTGACTGTTCATAGAGTCATGTCTTATCAACAACTCAAAGCAAGTAAACTGTTTTACAAAAAGCCAGGCTCTGACTTGAACCCAGACAACAACAGATCATGAGCTATCTTAAGGTTATTTCTGCCTTTACGAATAAAAAGGTGGTATTTGCCAAAGGCTTCAGACACTACAGTAAGTTCAGGTTATTTTCAGTAATATGCTACCACCACCATTTTCCTTACATAATGCTGTCTACTTTTATGTATGATGTCTTGAATTTCCCTCCTAAATATTTTAACAAAACTACATTTAATTTTAATAGCAAAAAAAAATCAACACAAAAGCACTTATCTAGTAGTCTGTGCTTATTCTCAAGTGTTCAAGGTTGTTTCAGGTATCTATGTAAGTAAATAAAAATAACTCATTCTAATTAGTATCATACGGAATAAAATCCAATTTCTGCAGTGGTGCTTACTTTTCTTTGATGGTATCCTCCATTTCTTTGAATTTCTTGGACAAATTATTTGTTTTTTCAAAAACCAGGGCCTTATCACCTGGTAAGCCATGGTTGGATATCTCCTTCAAGAGACTGTGCAAAACTTCCAGATCTTTCTTGCGTTGTAAGAATTCAGAAGTTGATTCCTACAAAGCATTTAGATATCCAATCAATGTAAGATGTTGCTAGATCTTCAAATGTCATCCCATCAAGAAGTGCGAATGTGACCAGAGTCTGACATGAAAACAGTCCTGCCCTATGGTCAGTATTCTAAACATAAATAAACATGCAAGCAGGTTGTTTAGAACACAGTAAGCTTCACTTAATTGAAAAATTCACTTTTTACATCTGTCTCTTTGTGAGTTCTGGCACATAAGAAGCTTACATCATCTATGATATGTGAAAAGTGTATGTGTGAGATACGGTGTTCATTTCCAATCAGTGAGCAAAGGCTTCAAGGAGAAGCTGGACTTTGTGCTTTGTACAGAAAGAAAGCAGAGATCTTTACTGATCCATCAGCAAATGAAATAATGATGGCTAATTATAATTCTGCCAATAAACAGATGAGCTTGTCTCAACCGTTCATGTACTCGACCAGCCCTGTGAAAACCAAGGGAGACATACCTGCATATACTGAGACAATTCAGTAACATCTTTTCCTGGCACATCTGCCTCAGTGAGGGTCTGACTTTTTGTCTCTAAAAAAGTCTGAAGCTTTTCTGAGAGGTTCTCAAACAGTTCTACTTTGGTTTTCAGCTCCTCCATCTTTGCAAGTTTCTCTTTGTGTTTACGGTTTGCTTCTGAAAACCGAACAGACAAGTCATTCATTTTGGCTTGCAGTGAGGATGCGGTCGACGGGTCTGCTGTTTCCATAAACTTCTTCACTTTTTCATTCATGGCATTTATACTGCCCTGGCGACTCATGATGTCCTGTTCCAGCATCTGAAACGAATCAAGTATTGCATATGTTTTATAAGAATGTTTACAAATAATGTCCCAGAGTTTTAAAAATTACTCTTCCTAACAACATAAGCTTAACAACCTGTGACTAAGGAAGGTTAACGGTTGGGACTGACTGACAAGTCTGATCTGTCCCTCGAGGAATCCCATCCCAAATCTCTTCAAGGGAGAGTACAGAACAGCTGGCTGGTTGCCTGAGAGAGGCAGGAGGTGGCTGCTACTCAGCAACCCCCGGGATCTAATGGAGCCTGGGGATTATCCACGGTCCTAATTTTTAAAAGGCTAGACAACAACAAGATTGATCTGATTAACCTCATGTGCAGCTGGCTGAGGCAGTGATAACCACGATAGGACTCGATGTGTGTAAGCCCCTATAATGAATAATATTCATGAAAAAGGACACAAAACTCTTTCTATACTCCTTTACAGAGAAATTATTTTACACATCTGTTTTTGTACAAGTACTACTTTCCACAGATATATTCAGAAAATGTCTGTTTTTCTATGTCCTTAAATTAATCTTAAATTTACTCACCCTTGGAGCTATTTAATTGGGTTTATTTTTCATCTAAAAGTGGCATTATTTATTTCCTTTTTATATGTCACTTACAATGTTTTTACTGATGACATCCTGGAGAGCAGCAGAGTTTAAGGGCACTTGACCTTGTTCTCTCAGAGAACTTTCCACACCTGCCATCCAGCCGAGCATGTCATCCAGGCCGTCCTGTACACTCAGTGAACGGGTCAAGGTTATCTGGAGTTTTTCATTGCGTTCATTAACAGACTTGGACAGATCATCGTATCTCCCAACAATGTCATCTAGTCCAAAAAAATCAGATGTTATCCACAAAGTTACCTTTGCCCTAGTCCTGTTCAAAAAATACATTAAGAGGAAATCACAAAATTTCCACACCAAAGCTGGAACAGAAAAAAGTTTAAATGATAAATGCATAACATATAATTAGAGCACCATCTAAAATCTTAAAAAAGAGAGAAAAGATCACATTGGAAGAGGAAAAATATTTTTAAAAATAGTTAATACGTGTATCATCTGCATTTGCAAAGAGAGTTTTAGATGCATGAACATTTCAGTTGTCCCAGAGAGACGAGAGCAGTCCACATGGCAAATCTTTGGAGTAAATGCACATTCCCAAACCGACATTGCAGATGAGCCACACTTATTGATGACTACATGGAAGGTAAAAGGGGACCCTTACATACTGCTGTTCTCAAGGAACAATATACAGTCATAAAGACTTGCCAAGAATCAACCTTTATATATCAAAATTCTCCCTCTCCCTTGTACTAGCTCTCTCTCTCACACACGTGTATAAATTAAGCTTCTGTCACCATCCTAAGCAAAGTACTCAAATGCACAGAAATTTGCAAATGCAGATGTTCTGAGAAAACATACAACAATAAAAATCCACTTAAAACAAAAACAATCCAATTTAAAAATGGACAAAGGGCCTGAATAGACACTTCTCCAAAGAGAACACAGAGATGGACAATAGACATATGAAAAATTGCTCAACATCACTAATCATCAGAGAAATGCAAATTAAAACCACAAGGAGATATATCACCTCACACCAGTCAAGATAGTTATCATCAATAAATCAACAAACAGCATGTGCTGGTGAGGATGTGGACAATGGGATTCCTTTGGTAGGAATGCAGACTGGTGCGGCCACTCTGGAAAGCAGTATGCAGATACCTCAAAAAATTAAAAATAGATCTGCCTTTTGACCCAGCAGTCCTACTTCTGGGAATATATCAGAAAAAAACCCCAAACACTAATTTGAAATAACATAAGCACCCCTATGTTCATTGCAGTGCTACTTACAATCGCCAAGATATGGAAGCAGCCCAAGTGTCTATCAGTAGATGAGTGGATAAAACAACTATGGGACATTTATATAATGGAATACTACTTGGCTGTAAAAAAGGAAATTTTATCCTTTCTGACAGCATGGATGGACCAGGAGAATATTATGCTAAGTGAAATAAGCCTATCAGAGAAAGACAAATACCATATGATCTCACTTATATGTGGAATCCAATTAACAAACTGAACTAACCAGCAAAATAGAGACAGACTCAGCGAGCAGGATGACAGCTCTGGCAGGTGGGGAGTGGTGGTGAAGGGATCAAGCAAAAAGGAAAAAGGGCTCATGGACACATACAACAGTGTGGTGATTGAAGGGGAGATAAAAGGCAATGGAAAAAACACAATAAAATTAAATAGATAAAGAAGGTTGAGATTATTCTTCTAAAATATACACAAATAGAATTTATTTAAAAAGTTTAATACCAGACAAAAGAGAAAAATAAACAAGGTTAACAGGTCAACATATCTGAGAACAGCTTAACTGTACTTTTAATTCTGAAGATGTAAGATGCTTAAAAAAAACAAAACCATTTCTAGTCTTCACTTGCATGCAAAGCTCTACATTTTAACATCCTACTTTCTCTGCTGCAGAGCAATGAAAAGTTCCAAGGACAATGGTTTTTAACGTTCTCTCTCTCTGACACAACCTGGTTTTAATTGTTAATTTATCACTTATATTCCAAGAATTCGAAAAGTATTTTAATTATCTCTGAATGCCTTAGTCTAATGCACTGTAGAATCCTTCAGTAGAAGAAAATTTGAACCTAAAACATCTCTATAAAAATGAAATATCTTGTATGCTTGTGTTTGGCCCAGGGAACGTAATCCATATAAACAAACAGTATTTCTTCTTAATTGTTCTGATATTGTATCATGAGAAAACAGGCAAATGTCCAATGAAGTGAGATGCTACACCTCGATGACTCACGGAGACAACCAGGCTCCAGTCACTAAAACAAAATAAAGCCCCTTGGAACGCTGACGGGGGGCGGGGGCACCCGCCAGCCTGAATGAGCCCCTGCTACTGGCAGGGGAATAAGCAATGGGTGCAAGCATGAGTCCTAATTTGAAAGAGCAAATACTCTGACCTGCAGGTCGTGATGGGCAGGTGAGCTGCTTCTCAGATGGGCAGCTCTGGCCTGGGGTCCCATCGGCTACCCTTTAACCGAGCCAGTGATTCCCTGAGCAGCCACCTTAATAACATTAACCCGGCTTTGGTGTTACTGGTATTTCTGGACTTCTGTGTGAAGCAATACTGTCACTGAAGTAAAATCTTGATTTTAGTCATTAAAATTATTTTAGGAAAAGGCACAGAACAAAATGCACTAAAATATTATTTTAAGTGGTTGATTTTTTTAGAAATCATATAGATCCTAGAGAAACTCCTCTAAATCTTAAATATACTTACACATATTCCTAGAAAATTATGCCTGAGAGAAGTTTTAAAGTCTTAAAATAATATAATGTATGGACTGTAAACAAATAAAAGCCAAACTAAGTATGATTCACAATGGGGGAAATGTCAAAATGCCTCTTCAAATAACAGAAACACATACAGCACAGCTGTTCTCCCCACCTCAGTCCCTGTACTCAGCCCCTCACAGTGGTGCGGCCGGCGTGGGGCGTGGGGACAGCCCACTGGAGCACAGGAAACAAAGGCCGAGCTCCCATCAGTATTTCTGTCTTACACTTTGAAATCCTGTATTTGTGTGTTTTACAGTTACAGTACACATAATATAAGACAGTTATATGTGTATGTAGTTGACGAATATGTGTGCATGTATGAGGGCACATACTAAAAGTTCTCTGATAAGGGTGTAAGATCAAAAGAGTTTGGATGTCTGTAAAAAAAAGGCTCCCCCTGTAGAAAGTGGTTTTAGAAGAGCAAAGCTTATTTGTTCTCTTCATCCGAAATTTCTGTTCTGATTCAGTTCAAGCTCTCTTTGGGGTGAAACATATCTAATCATCTGCTCATCTCTCAACCCCTTAAACTCTCGCTCCTGCTCTGGAGAGAAAGAGCCCACCGAGGGTCTGTTTTGGAAAGTTCTGCTTTCTGTGGTGACGATCAGATAAAGAGTTTCTGTTACATTGTCTAAATATAACATTGAAATTTATTTAAATTTCTAAATAATCTCTTTTCAAACAACACAGCTCCCATTTCCAGATTCTGACATTCCTACCAAACAAGGCATGCCTTCTACCAGAATGAGAAACACCATTCCACAGGGAAAGGATGTGAATGAAAAGTATGTGCTGGTGAACCTTTTCTCCGTATCCATTAGAATCCCTTCATTTAAAACAAGGAAATGAACACTCACCAAGTGTTTTCTGGATTTCATTCTTGGCCGGAAGCAAAGATCCCCTGGCATCTAAAAGCACTTCAGCTGTTTTTTTCAGTTTCTCTACGGCAACCTGTTGACTTGATATCTGTCCTTGGAGAGCCTGGAGGACCAAATGCTTCAATTATACTCAGTAGGACTAAGTAACAGATTTCCAATAGGAGAAAAATAACTTACAGAAAGGTAAAGTTAAGGTGGACAAAGGAAATTTTTCAACATCATAAACTTACTCCAGAATTCTTAGACTACAGCCAGTTATAAAGTAGCATTAGCAAAAGCAGCAGCCAGTCAGGATAATACAAATTCAGTCTTGCAATAAATCTCGAGCATATGTTCACAATAACTGGCCTTATTCCTGACCTTGTGACCCCCCAACCCTTGGCCTGAGTTGCCCCTTAATCCCCATTTTTAGGCTTTGTACAATACTCCCACTACTACCAGCAAACAACAAACAAATACCTCCACTTAAAAATATAATTAAGGACCCCTATTTCAGCAGATCCTGAGTCACATTTCCTTCTGTTATTTCAATAAAAGTCATGTAACATCTATCATATTCAAAAAGATCTTGCTACATTTTGTGAGAAATACAGAAATCAAACACACATGGAGCTTACTCACAGGGATCCCCTAGTCTAAGACAGGAAGTGATTAAAAGCCAAAAGTGAGTTAGAGTACCACCAGAAGTTGAGAGGAACAATAACGGGAGAGGAAAATGGTGTTCCCTCTGGGGCAGTGGCGTTGAGATGGTCCTGAAGAAAGGATGGATTTGGGCAAATGGAAGTGGAGGTAGAGAACAAAGAGAAGGAGCAAAGATGGGAAAACATCTTGGGAAAACGAGAGTCCCATCCAGCGTGAGAATGTGTACAGTTGAATAAATACTAATAGGACTGAAAATGCCTCAAATGTCAGGCTGAGGAGTTTATACTTTATCTTGCAGCAACAGGGAGACACTCAGGGCTCTGGAGTGAGGGGTGACATGCTTGAGCTGTCTCGGGGAAGGCTAAGTCAGTAACACTGTGTGGGATCCACTCAGAGGGACGAAAGGAGGCGCAAAGACCAGTTACGGGCAGCTTTGCAGTAATAAAATCGAGAGGGCATGTCTGAGCTGAGAAAGCAGAGCTGGTTATAGAGTTGGGAAAAGTCCACGGGACTCAATGATTGATTATCTGCAGCTGTGCTGTCCAATATGGTAGCACCTAACTACATGTGGTTTTTAAACTTAAATTCATTGAAATCAAATGGAATTCAAAATTCACTTTCTCAGTTGTACTAGGCACATTGCAAGCACTGAATAACCAGGTGTGACTGGGGGCTTCCATGTTGGACCAAGCAGATCTAAGAACATTTCCATCATTACAGAATGTTCCACTGGACATTTCTCCTTGAGAGGGCAGGTACAAAGGACAAAGGTGAGACTTGAGAAGTACCCAAAGCTTTTGAGCCTAGGTAATGAATGGAATTCACAAGCCAAAGTGGGAGCAAGTTTAGGAGCAAAAACAAGAGTCTGTTTGGGAATTCACGACTTCAAAGTGATTTTGGGACACTCACGCAGAAACCAACAGCAGAGCTGACATAAAGGAGACTCTGAACACAGGCTACAACTAGACACAAAGCCCTGGGAGGCAAGCCCGGGGATGAGACTGAAGGGAGAATGCACAGAAATACAAGAGAAGGAGGCCATAAAGAATCATGGAGAGTACTTATATCAAAGTGATAAGGACAGGAGAAAACACAGACCAAAAGTGATCAGGAAGGTGGAAATGAGCCCAGAATAATTCTGTCCCCAAAGTTTAAAGGAAGAGAGAAAGTGGAAACAGTTAACTGTCAGCTGCTTCAAAAGGATAATGTAACCTTTAATTTGCTGCACACAGGTCCCTGGAGTGCTCTGAGTGAGCAGATGCACGTCAACAGCAAGAATGAGGAGAAAAGAGGTAGAGACAGGAACCGTAAAGTCTTGCAGAAGTTTGGCCCTGCCTGCCTGACACCTCCGTCCAAATGGGCTGCCTGGCCACCCGGGCCCCAGGCTTGGCTTTACTTTCACTTGAGGTACTCAAACTCTTCTTCTAGTCGCACATTTGGATTTCAAATTCAAATTCCCATATGTCTGAGTGTAGATGAACTCATCCCTGGCCATGGGCCCAGGTTTCCAACAGCCTCTTGAATGTTTCCATCTGGGTGTAAACAGTCACCTCAAATTCAAAAAGCTAACTCTGAACCCATCATCTCATTCCCTACACCTGTACTTCCTCCTGGGGGTTGCACCTCATTACCCAGGTAATAAACCTAAGGCTCCTCCTGAATGCCCTCCTTTTCACGTGCAAATCCACCATTAAGACCTAACAATTTTACCTGCTAATTTTTTTTAATCAGACTTCTGCTCTGTGTTTCTGGATCGCGGTAGGATAATCTCTCACTTAATTGGAAACAGCATTCTAACTGTGCTCCCTGCCTCCAACGTCTTCCTTGAAATAGAACCCCCCAATGTGTTTTGTGGAAAACACAGATCTGACTACATACATCACTCCCCTCTTTAAACTCTTTCAGAAGCTTCCTATTTCCCTTCATAATAAATGCAAAACTTGAGCATGCTATAAAAGGCCCAGTGAAATCCATTCCTTAATTCAATCTTTAATCTCATCTTTCTCTACTTAATGTTCCTGAAACGTCCAACACACAGCTATTTCCTAGCTATTTGGTCATGCTAGACCCAATGCTTTAGCATCTCTACACACCAACCTTCCCACATGCAACCTACCCCCGCATCATCCTGAGCTTAGCTCTTATTCCCTCTTTAAAATTCAGCTAGGAAGCCTTCCCTAGCTCTTTCCTGAACCCTATTTAAGTACTCCCCCTCCAGGAGCTCCTGTGACTATCACTGGATTCATTTGTCTCTTCTATCAAACTAACTTCTTTAAGAATTAGAAATTTATCCTGTTCAGGTTTCTATCATTACTGCCTAGCCCAGTGTTTGACATATAATAGGCCTTGATAAAAGTTCCTGGAATAAGAAGAAACCCAAAACACAAATTCAAAAACATACAAGCTCCCCTATGTTCATTGCAGCATTAAGTACAACAGCCACGATATGGAAGCAACCTAAGTGCTCATCAATAGATGAATGGATCAAGAAGATGTGGTCCATACACACAATGGAATATGACTCAGTGATAAGAAAGAATGAAATCTTGCCATTTGAGATAATGTGGATGGACCTAGAGGGTATTATGCTAAGTGAAATATAAAAAACAAAATAAACAGACAAACAGAACAGACACACTCAGAGGTACAGAGAACAAACTGATGGTTGCCAAAGGGGAGGGGGATTGGGAGGATGGGTGAAAAGGAGGAAGGGATTGAGAAGTACAAACTGGCATTTACACAGTAGTCATGGGGACGTAAAATGCAGCATAGAGAATATAGTCAATAATATTGTAATAACTATGTACGGTGTCAGGTGGATACTAGATTTATCAGAGTGATAGCTTCATTGGTTATATAAATGTCTAGTCACTGTGTTGTACACCTGAAGCTAATATAATACTGTATGTCAACTGTAACTGAAAAATAAAAAATATTTTAAGAAATAAATAAAGGAATATTTAGAAAAAAGTTTCTGGAATAAATGAGTGAATGAATGAGTAAATAAATGAAGATATCAGGTGGAAGACTTTAAAAGATCCTCTTCTATTTCAGCCTTTGATGGCAACAACAGCAACAACAACAACAAAAAAACACAAATGCCTTTAGCCAATAGCAACAATTTCCTCCACCTATTTTTATAGCCGAGAAACGGTGGCAATGTCCAGGCAGTGGCACGTGTTGGAAAGCCCACTGAACTGCGACTGGCACGCGGTCTCTGGTCTGACTACAACTCCCGCAGCTGCTCCAAGCGGCCAGAGGATCTGCATCAGAGGGAATCTGCTTGGGAAAGTCTCCCAGAAGTCCAGTTACAGAGAAGTATTATATAAGAAACCCCTCAAGGAACTTGACCTGTGACCAGACTGAAACCTAAGCCACAGGGACAGCTTATTCGCACTGCGTGATTAGTCAGAATGTAAAAAAAGTTTAAGGGTTCTTCCAAAAAAACAGCAGTTTTAGAACATGAGTTCCCCAATGGCAGAGATAGGGTTTTAACATCTTTGCATCTTCACAAAACCTGACAGTGGGCCTGGCACGTAAGTGTCTACCAAATGCACACACACATCCAAGTGCTGCTGTAGTTCTAGAAAGTCATCCAGTACCAAAGTGGGCCCCCAACATCATCCAACTTAGAAATGGATTACAAAAGAAGCATTTTTCTTCATCTTTCTCTTCAAAACATCCCATGCTTTTTCTCTCCATAATTATGTTCAAAGCGTCAAGAGTTTTTATTCCTAACATAGTATCAGGTTATAATTTAGCCGTAGTGGTGGTTTATAGCACTACTTTGGGGAAAAAAAACTACAAATTAAAGTATTCAAATCAGTACCATACATTGTTTTTAATGGACTTCAGTGAAATTAAAACATGAGAGAAGCATCAGTGACAGGGAATACTGAAAGATTATGATCTTGATCTCCAGCCTGAACCAGAAAAGGATGAACTTGGGCACTTGTCCAGCTCATAGAAGTCTCCTGACTTAGAGCCACCTCAGAGATCAGTGAGAGGTTGGAAGGTGGACGTGTCAGTTGACATGACATAGCCCCATGGCTGGTCCCAAGCCGAGTCCAGGAAAGAAGCAGGGTCACCATCCTCCTTTCCTCTCCACGTGTCTCCTCCCTCCTCTCACCCCATGCTCCCATCCCCCTTCTCTCTGCCTTGGTCTTAAACTGCCACATGGCACCCCAGGGTATGATTTAGCTTTCTTCCAGCCTCAAGTCACCAGTCTCGGGCAATTCCTAATGTGAAGCTCACTCAGTCGGGGCCTGTTCTCCTTGTTAACAGCACGATAATGATTTTTGATTCTGTAACTAAGTTCTGAAAGGCAGTTGTTTAACTGGCAATACAGTGTTTACTCTCCAGCTATGGCAGCAATAACACTACACTCACCTGCTGAAAGGAATCAAAGAATGGATTTATGAAATTAAACGTTCAAACTCAAAATTATCGGTCCTATGGATTAAGAATAAGATATTTCAAAAATTATCTCTCCTTACATTAGGATGTTAAAATGTGCTTTAAATTTAAGAAGCAGAGACTTTCCCAGTCACTGTGGGCATGGCTGAGGCCTCCATAGTTATTCTGTTCCCGCATCAAGCCTGCAGTTTTGAAGAAGCAGGTATACTTTTTGAGAACTGTGCTGACTAAAAAAAAAGTTTGTATCTCTATGAATCATAGGAATCTCAATAGGAATACCAATCCTGGTCCTCCAAGCCCACACATGACAGTGACACCCCTTCTTCCCTGCCACCAGTCCCGTCTTCAACAAATATTTACTGAGTACACACAATGGGTCAGCTCCTGTTTTGGCTGCTGGGGATATGGCAATGAACAGAAACATTTGCCCTCATGGAGTTTAACTCTAATGGTGGAGAAAAGCAATAAATGAAAATAAACATGGACAGAGATAAAGAAGTGGCCCGGACCACCTGGGTTTTGTTTGTGGAGGTAGGACTGATGGCATGCAGGGAAGAAACCATAACAGCAAAGTCAACCCAGCTCAACAACAGTAGGAAAAACACGCTCATTGGAAAGAGAAATAAACAGATGGTTGAGAGCTGAAGTCATAACTCCCTCTAGAGGGAGAAATACACTTTTCCATACTTTGTTCCCCTTCCTTAGGTGAAACTATCACAAGACTGGGAAAGGGAAAGGTTTTCAGTATGACTATTGAAGGGCTGGGTCCTTTCTCTCTCTCTCTCTCTCTCTGTCTCTGTCTCTGCCTCTCTCTCCTCTTTACCTTGGTCTCTTCCAATTGCCTTTGCAGATTTTTAGGGTCCACAGCAATGGGTTCAGATAAGTGTTTGCTCGCTGTGACCTGGCAGGCCTGGAGCTCAGAAAGAAGTCCACATGAAGCATCTTCGTAGTGCTGATATTTATCCACCAGATCTTTAAGATTATTCCCAAGGACACTGCACTAAAAAAATCAAAGGAAAAAAGGGTGGAGAATTAAAATCTATTACTTTTTATGATAAATAACTTTAGAATCTGAGTTCCGTAACTTAGAAAACACCGGACTCTGACCAATGTGAGGTGAAACTATAGGACTAAGATTTTTCTCCTCTATATGAAGAAGCATCCTCTAACAAGTCCAACTGAGGATTTGGACATCAGTCAGCAGAGGAGGCTGATCTACCAGGCCCATTTCCACTAGGTTTTATATACTATGTGTCTAGATATGTATTTGATGGAAAGGTTTTCAAGGTGCTTAATGAATCACTTCCATATGTTACAAAAGATTAACACGAGGAAGGTAACTACTCTAGATCAGAATGAAGAGAGTCAATGATGCTCTTCATGTCCATTGTGTAGCTTTGGTCAGGCTGTTCAACATACAATCAGGGGAATGTTTTCTTACTTTTGTTTAAAAAATAAAGCAACTCTTTTACTTGTCCAAGGGAATATGAAGCAGAAACAGTCTGTGACTCATTAAGTATTAAAATAATACACTGATCAAATATATCTGTAAAACACACACTGGCAGTATTTGCGAAGGAAATGGTCTGAGACAAAAATAGTTCTTAAGCTCGAGAAGCTGCAAAAATGAGCAAGTTATTCTGTTTGCTTGGAGACAAAACATAAACACCACCTGGTGGTCAAATTGGGTATTACTGAGTTTTAGAAATCACTCAAAACTGAAAAAATAACTTTAGGCTCCTAATCTTTAAAAACACTTTTTTAAAGTAAAGAAGACAAATACATCTGCGGTAAACAAGATAAAATTTTAAATTATCTTATTTTCCCTGCTTCAGTTTTTAGGTTTCTCACTTCTAATCCAAGAACAAAAGTTAAGAGGATAGAATAAAAACTATAATCACAGATTGATCTTTTCCTTAAAAGACAAAAACAAAATTACCTTAGAATAGAGAGCCCTGAACCGATCAGTAGCATGATCCAGTTTGCTCTGGACTTCTCTGTGAGTGGCCGAAGTGTCAATATTATGCTGGTCAGCCTTGCCACCTCCGTCTCTTCTGCTGCAAGATTTCGCTGCTTCTAACACCCTGTTTCCAGAAATTGTGATGTACCTCAAGTCCCCTTTGTGAGAAATGACATCTTCTGAGAAACTCTTCTGCCTCTTTAGTTTGGTCATTAAACCACTGAAGTCATCTGCACCTGCCTCTAGGTTTTCCAGTTCTTGTTCCGACTGCTGCAGCCAGTGCTCAAACTCGCTATAGTCAGCATCAAACTTCTCTAGCTCTTCCTGCAAAGAATGAGTTAACTTCATTTTCTTTTCTGACTCGGCCAGTGCAGTTTCGTAATGCACTTTCAGGTCCTTCATGTTCTTTTGCAGTTTCTCTTTCTCCTCAGGAGAGAGATAGTGACCCTGTTTCTCAAGCAAGGCTTGTGCAGACTGTGTGGCCACGAGGACAGCTTGGTGCTGAGAGACGATCTTCTCGTGCTGGGCCTGAGTGAAAGAAATCAAATCCACTGTGACTTCAGGTGGTAGCATGGAGGCTGGGGGAGCTCCCTGTTGCCTCGGGACCTACAGACTTGAATGATCTACAGACAGACGACTTGCTTCTTGTCAGCCTTTCCAAAATGCACAGTATTTGCCTTTTACTGGTGAATTTCAGAATAGCAAAAGCTACGTTTTGAACACTCTAATCTTATTTTTTAGAAAATTTCCAATCTTCCAATTTATATTATATAAATATGAAAGTACTTACATAATCACATAGGGTAAGTACTGTTTTTGAGAAGTTTGGGAGGGAAATGTAACAGATTTCTCTTCCAATTCTAAAACAAGCATCTACAATCAGATCTCATTTTACTCATTGCTTCCTCACAACCATCTTAAAAGAAACTGCTAATCACTGAGCAAATGGGTATGATATTATTTATTATGAAATGATCCTGAAAGGACACCTAGGCAGAAAAAAAAATGTTCAATTTTAAAGTTGTAAAAACACTATGGCAATAATTAATCAAGAACAATACACATTCGCAGAAGCCCCATTAAGTTAGAGAAACATATAATAAAAGAGAATATTGTAGCTAACTAGCGTCACTGGGCCTCAGTGTCCTACATGTAGAAAACAGAGATAATGACCCATACATGGCACAGGTTTGCTGAAAGGACTTTGTAATATCACATGTGTAGCACACTGCCCAAAGAGCCTGATGCTTGCCAGAGATTAAAATGCACATTGAAGTCTGAAAGCAGAGCTTCCGGTGGGTGTGCTGCAAACAGGACACGGGTGTGCAGAGCTGGTGATTTTATAGCTCAGGCTTCAGGGAAGCTGGGGGCCTCAAAGCGGCTGAGAGACCCTTTCTCTCCAGCCAGAAGCAGCTTCTTTTATTCACCCCCATATGCCATGCAAATATGACCAAAAGGATAATAATCCTTATGGGCAATTTCCCACATTTCTCATACTGCCTTTAATGCAGCCAATGACCTGATGCCAGAGCTCTTGTTGCACCCCTGCCCTCTCCCAGCTGGTGCCAAACACTCCAGGCCCTCCCATCCCTACCTTCACCCCCACCTTGTTAGGTGCTTCCAGAGTTTTTTCCCCAGTTGCTCTCCTGCCTAAAAACAGCTCTTCCCTCAGACATCTGCTTGGCAACCCCCCATCTCCTTGAAGTCTTTGCACAAATCTCCCCATCTCATTGGTCTACTCTGATGATCCTATTTAGCTCTGAAAATTGCTCCCGACCCCACACTCAACCACCATACCCAACTCAACATTCTTCTCTTAGCAAAAAGTTACCTTCTAACATCCCATAGAACTTGGTTATTTATTGCCTGCCCCATTCGCATCTCTCCTTAGTGTGTAAGCACCAGGACAAGGAATTTATTTTGCTCCCTGGGGAACCCTAAGGACCTGGAACAATGCTAGCACCTGGGGGGTAAATATATGCTACAAACTAAAAGGTTGAGAAGCATTACTGCGGGGCGATTATTCTCTTATAAGTCTGATCCAAGGCAGTCAGTCAGCTGAAAACAGAATCATTAGCATTTGTATCTGAACTGTCTACAACAATGCCTGCCACTGTGGCACCGGATAAATATTTTTGTCTTAATAACTTTTCCCACTCAGGCTATATCTTTGATATTCGAATTACCTTCATATACTATCCTCCAATAGGTCTTCTGCACACAGTAGGCTAGAAAAACACATAGAATACCTTACAAATAATCTGATACATCGAGTTCCTTGGACAGATGAGAAAACTCAGGCTGCAGGAAAACAGCTTGGCCTGGGACACGTGGCACAAACAGAACGAGACACAGAGCCATGCCCGGCCCTCGGGCCAGCTCTCCACTCTACCAGGAGACGTGGAATTTCTAAAGCACTTTCAGAGTCTCCTATTCTTAGAAGTTAAAAGATTGGAAGGCAAACGTCATGTTATGGCTAAAAGCATAGGCTTTCCTATTTGGCCTCTATATGTTTGAGTCAACCCACTGGTATTTTTCACTACTTGGGTCAAGTTACCAACCTTTCCTGACTTGTTTGTAACTGACTCATAATCCTTTCAGAATACACCTGATTTTTCATTGTAAGAGACAATTACAATAAGGTCCTATAATTGCCCCTTGACAGTGTGATACAGTAAATACTCCCCCACTTCCTCTGGTTTAACTTATATTTCCTGTAACGTAAGAACCCACTTCACAGAGAGAATTCTATTCCAAACACTCCAACTCGGAGGAAAACACAAAGAACTGCAAAAGTTCCTAAAGTCCAGTCACCTCACTACCAAACGACAAACCCTGAAATAAAACCATCGATTACATGACACTTTAAAATAGTTTTCCAAAACTTCTTTTGCTTCTGTAGTAGCACTTCTGTTAGCTTCCAATGTGCAGTGAGTTTTTAGAAGGGCTCTCGCTCCTCTTCCCAACAACAGTGTTCCCTGCACGGAAGACCTGAGGTGCAGAGAACACATAGCAAGCTGGTCTCCAAACACCCATTACAAGTGAGCAGAGTGGCTGAGCTCATGGCCTGATTTTAAATCCACACTCCATACCTCACTAAATGTGTCATTTTGGGCATGTTACTTTCCCTCTCTAAGTTATAGTTTCCCCATCCATAAAATCAGAATAAAAACCTCAGAGAGTAGCTGTGAGAACTAAATAAGCTAAAATGGGAAGAGCTAAAAAGAGTACCTGGCCCACATAACTGCTCTATAAATCTTAGCTTTAGTAGTATTATTTTTCTTAATTCCTTTTAACCCTGCTTTACTTATAAGAATGCCACATCTAATGACTTATTCCTCATTGTTTTTGATTTGCTTAGAACTCTCACAATTTCTCTTTGACATAAGAATGAACCTAGAAAAAAAAAAGACCTGATACTCAATGGTCATTAAGGTTTGAAAAGATATCTCATGTGCTAAATTGTTCCTATCTTTATAAACCTGAAAACAGAATTTTACGATATCATTAGACAACAAACCTTAACTTTCTGGTACTGCTGGTTCAGATTCTCTTCAGTGGAATTCTTCTCTCTAACTGGCCCATCCACATCCGTTTCCAACAGGTTACCATTAACTTCGTCCTCTTCTCCAATCGTCGACTTGCTGTCACCTTCTTGAAAATGAGTCCCATTCTGTTCAATTACCTGTTTCTGTGTTATCCCTGCCCTTTCTGAGTCTTTGTCAACATTTGACAGCCAGTCCAAAAGGTTTTCTATTTTGGTTTTGCTCTCTTCCAGCTGCTTCACAGCTGCAACCTGGGTGGGGGGTGGGGCAGGGGAGAAGGACAATGGGTATTCTGAATATGGCCAAGGTATTAGCTTTAAGACATCCCCAAAGTACATATTTGTATCATTTAAAATTAGAGTGGGGATACTAAAAACTGACATACCTTGAAAACTGAACACATTAAAATTAAACCTTAGAGAAATAGGAAGTTACTTTGAAGTTTCCACTGCTCGTAAAAATACATTCCGAAATTTTAACTGTAGTAACGACTGAGTCCCCACACATTTCACAAGTAGAAAGTCTCACAACCCCACTTAAACTTTTTTAAAAAGTTAAGCAAAATGAAGAACAGAACAGAAACAGAGGCACAAAAACACACAACAGACAGCTATCAGAGGGGAGGGGAGACCGGAGGAAAGAAGGTGAAGGGATGAGCCAAAGAGCGTCTGTGTGGGACACAGACAGTGAGACGATGCCCAGAGAGAGGGAAGCGGGGAAGTAAGTGGTAGGGGAAATTGGGACTTCTGCAACAGTGTCAACAATAAAAATAAAGAAAAAAAAAGTTAAGCAGGGCTAACTCTTCAAACTTTGTGTAGTATTTGGTCAATTATAAACCTGGAAACCCAGAATTCCGCTCTCTGGTGCTAGTCGTTGCTCACCACCACCTGATAGCACTTAATGAATCCAGAGGCTGCTATACTAATTGTTCCTAACAAAGCAACAGTGTACCACGTAATCGGATAAGGACCTTTTCAGTTTCTTCCTTGATTGCTGTTGTCACAACTTTATCCAGCTCCTTTCTTGACTGTTCTGCCTTTAAATTAAGTTGTTCACACTTTATTTTAGCTTCACTGAGCTTCTGTTCAATCAAAGCCTTGTCTTCTCGTGACAGTTTTTCGCCATTCTCTTTTAAGAAGTTCTCTGTGTTTTTCACTATTTCTGCCAATGCCTGTGCACTTCCTTGCATATCTTTCTGTAATTCCTTATAATAGAAAAGGGAAAAAATCTTATGAAATTACTACCTATTTAATTTTTCCAAAGTTGTAATTCTGAAAAAGGAGATGAGCAAAAGAAGGATAATCCTGCACATACAGGCCGAAAAAGAACACTGAGTATGTTCATTGGAGTTGGTTTATTTAAATCACAATATTTAATATAATTTGAAATCTCAAACAGCATTAAAGAAAGGTATGAGGCTTTCATGTTTGACAAAGAGACATGGTTTGTAAGACATTGAAAACAATGAAGTATTCAGTATATAATCTATATAAACTCGCGTATACCAGATTTTTCACACTGTGTGAGTGCATTTATAAAAGCTTTGAAATACATGACCATATTATTTATTATTTCTAAACATTCATTTTTAATATGTGCTCAGGATAAAAACACATAGTTCTGTAAGTTATAAGCTAAGTTGTTCCTAAAATAGTGTCTCTACTGTAATAATCTCTTCTAAACACCAGAGCTCCATAATATGTAATGTTTGCTCCCTTGTTTCAGGTGTTAAGAAGCTCAGCATTAAGAATTCTCCTCAGCAGTGATAGCTTCCTTCTGTCTAGATTTCTCTATGTATTTGTTCTTCTGTTCCTCCTTTACTTGGCATTTTAATTCCCTATATCGTACTTTGTTTAAGCTTTTCCCATGCTTTCCAGACTCCTCAAAGTTTTCTGAGTATTTGAACTGAAAGAAATACTTACTGAACTACAACATTGTGACATTAACTGTGCCTGTCACTGAACACCAATATTGACTTAACTTTTATAATGACATGGTAATGGGATTATGGCCAATGAAGAAACTGAGACTTAAAAAGATTCAATTACAAAGCTAACATGTGTAGTGTCTGGGATTTGGATCAAGAGTTAGCTAATTACAATGAGAACATTCTTTTTTCTGACACCAAAATAAAGATACCTTTATCTGTCATTATTGTATGTTCCTTCCATGGAAAGAGACAAACTGCAGGGAAAGATGAAAGGAATAAGAAAAAGCTAAGAAAGAGAAAGAACCCAAATTGATGTGTATTTCACCTGATTTGAAAGTGAGTGGACTGGCCTTAAATGTATCCAAGTCTGAATTCATCATATAAGGTATTTCTATTACCAAACCTCCTTTGTATTTTGTCCACTCAATATCCCACCAAAAACCAGTCAAGAAAATTATATGACTTGCTTGAAGTTGAAAATGTAACCCTTAGTATAAAGTGCACAGCTCAGGAGGCCTGGAGCATACACTGTCTTAGAAAAGCTAAAATGGGAGCTATTTGTCAATAATCCTAATTGCTTTCCAAATAACAGTAATCAAACTTAAGATCAACAGAGAACTAATCACGCAAAACCAAATTCTACCTCTTGCTTGGACTGGTACTTCTTTAGCTCAACGGTGCCGTCTCCAATCACAAAGGCTTCCTGGTGCCCAATCAGGCGGTTTTCAGTCTGGGTCAGGAGATCACAGATCCCCTGGAGTTTCTCTTTGTACTCCTGCTGCCGCTCTGCCACGTTCTAGAGGGGAACAGAACCAAAGCATCTGTAATGGTGGTCACACACTCACAACTCTGACAGCTCCTTATTAGAATACACTTTGTAAGTTTCCTCTAAAAAAGCTTTCTGAGTATGCTGTAAACATGATAGCAGTGGGGTACAAACTGAGCAGGGTGACACACAAAGTAAGAGGCTGTCCCACAGACAAGGAAAGTGATCGTGTTTGGGTGAAACTGCTCAGCAGAATACTGGCCATGCACATGTGTAAGAGATGGAACTTCTGACCGATAGGAAGAAACATTCCATTTTCTTAAGCTCTTGAGACCTGCGACACACACAATTAATTCTGTAAAAGGATATCAAAACAGAAGTTAGTCATGGTTTGTCTGTTAATATATTTGATATGTGCATATAGGTTATCATGCTAGAGACAATGCCTGGATGCTTCAAGAAATAATAAAAAGACCATTGCATGCACTATTTTTATTTAATCACTACATCTAATTCCATTCCTACCTCTTCATTACTGATTGCTATTGGATGTGGCACTCTAATATAATTCATTAAATCTTTCTAAGAGATTTATTTCCTCAGTCAATTGCTTACATCTTTCATTTTCCATCACACACACACACTAGTTATTTGTCTTACAGCCACTGTGTTTACCAGGAGCCTAACACACGCTGGGCAAGTTGCTGAGTGTTTTATATTCATTATTTTATCAGTGCTCACAACACTACCATGTAAGCACTGCTACTATTTCCAATTGGCCAGTGAGAAAACTGTTGTCACATGACTTGCCCCAGGTCCCACAATGAGTGCGTAGTGCCACTGGGATGTGGAAGGAGGCAGTCTGGCTCCAGAGCCCTGCTGTGTCATGCCACCCTCCAGAGGGGGACACCCTTAACTTCTTTATGCATATGCTCATCAATCTTCCCTCTGAAATTGCTGAGTGCATCTACGTATCCTACTTCTAGAAAAAAAGGAAGACTATCACCTGAAAACAGTAGTTTCAGGGAGTCATGAAAATTAAAATCAATGAATTACAGCATTATCACAGAAAGTAATAGTGTTATATATTGAGAATCTATACATTATACCCTGTCCATTAATTGCCTATCCAGAAAAATCTCTCCCATCATGCCATAATCCCTACGTGTCTGTATTACAGGTTTCACCCTGAAGAACTAAATAAAAAGAATTCACAAAGAAGGGCAAACCTTCTGATCATCCAGGTCTTGTTCTAGCTGTAACTGAGTTTCTAAATGTTCCACCTGGGCAGTTACTGATTCCTGTACGTCAAGAAAACACTTCTGAGTTTCATTTAAGAGCCGCAGCAGTTGTTTGCTCTGGCTGGGAGACAGATCTTGTGCATGCTCAGAAATGAAGAACTGCACGTCAAAGGCAGTCGTCTCCAGCTGCGTTTTGGTATGGCCAAGGTCTTTCAACACGCCCTGAGAACAAAGCGGCACAAGTTACCAACAGGGAGTGAAGCCATAACAGACAGTGTATATCAACAATAACATTTATTTTAAAAATACGCTTCTTGTATCAAACTCAATGTTGTATTGATATTTTTATTTAGTCAAAAACGTATTCATCTAGTAAAAATGGTGATGATGAAATCACTTAAATCCTGTGGTAATTAATAGTATATATAAAAAGATAAACCCTCTGAGAATCTTTTAACCTTGCTCACCACATCACATGTCAAATGAAACTCTCACAAAAGGATTCAACTTATGTAAATTTAGCACACTGAAAGGTAACAACATTAAAATACTGCTTGCCAATATTTATAGCACCCATGCTATTGTGATAGCACGTAAATGAGACTACAGAGTATTTGAAACATAAATTAAGTGGGCCAGAATTTCAGTTTTCTGGCTCCCAAGTCAGGAGCCTAACCATCATTCATGGGGCACGCTGTTCAGATTAAGAACTTGTGGGATGGGGGAAGTCATGACAAAAAAACTCATACAAAAGTACTTATTACACTGTGATCTGCTTATATGATTAATATATACTGATATATACATAAATACATAAATGTAAATCTCAGCATGTCAGTGGTCATAAGAATTATAGGAGGCTGCTGGGACAGCAACAGAATGATCACCCAGTTGTGATTATTGACAGTTGTGTCAACTGTAAACAAATACTTTGGAAAGAAAAAGAAAGGAAACAGCCCCATAGAGCTTTAGCAAAGTCATGTATTTTTGTAAACATTTGTTATATTACATCCACAGGTTTTTAAATGTGCTTTCTGTCTCACTATTTTGATACTTACCTTAAGAAACTCCAAACTCTGCCTCACACGTTGGGTACCTTGAGCATTCCCAGCCTCCATATCCTTCACAGACCTGCTCTTCTCTGCTATCCAATGTGAGAACGACTTCAGTTTGTGTAGAAATTCTTCATGGGAAATGGCTAGTTTTGACTAGAAAACAAAATTGTGTTCATTTCTCTCTGTCCTTAAAATTCAAATGCCTATAAATGACAGTTCTGTCTTAAGGGCCTAACACTCTGAAAACAAAATACTTCAGTTTATGGTTAAATTTTTAAACAATCAAATTTTCTTCAACACTCAAATCTGACTCTGTGTGAAGTGTGCCAACACCTACCATTTCACAGTCGATTGCGAGCACAATGTGCTCCATTCTTTCTGAAGACGCATCGCTGAGGGAAGAGAAGGCATTCTGCAAATTTCGGTGGCTTCTACTCAGATCCTCAAGATGATCTCTGGGGAAGTCACTGGGAAGAGACTTTAAAAACTCTTCTGCCAACTTCATGTCTTTCCTTAAAATAACAGCAATTGGAGCCAATCCCAATTCAAATGTCTGCAAAATATATATATGTATATATTTGCATTTACCGTTTTTATTTCACTATGCAGAAACATACATTCACATGGGCTGTGTAATACAGTAGACGGTGTAATGGAGTGACTCTGTGTGAAGTGTGCCAACACCTACACCTATGGAGAATATCTTTCTGAAGCTATTTATAGTTAAACTGGTCCGATGGTTTACCAGAACTCAACTAAAGTTAGTGTCACTAAACACTAAATAGTTTAATTACAGTGGAAATTCTGTACAGTATAAGGCTTGGCTCTGAACTAGGTTGTAAATATGGACCACATTTAGAAATAAAACAGTTATTCAAGTAAAAGAAGAAAAATCAATTTAAAAATATACAAAAGAAAAAAAACAATAGGAACTCAACAGGTTTTCGAGAGTGAAATTTTTTAATATTGTAAACTAATGAAGTATGTATTTTCTACCCAAAATAATCACAATTTACATATTTAGGACTTGACAGGGGTCTTTGAGAAGCTTTCTGGATTGAATACAGACCACAGTGGACAACAAGGAAGAAATCACATTAATAAGTTGAAATCAGTGCTACCTTATAATGAATTAAATTAGATACACAAAGCAGGATGGTAAGCATTAAATATTTCCAGAGGATCAGAGAATCACCACTGTTTGTGGGTTAAGAGTAATAAAATCAGATAAAACAAGTACAAGATTTAAGTGTTTACTGAATAAACTTGGCTACTGGCACATCTAATCTGTAATAAACCGGACACACTGGACCTAGACACCTGCTAGCATTTTAGGGTAATCTTCATTTATCTGTAAACCAAAGATCTGTCACTTAAGAAACCGAAATTTTGGTTAGATTTTAATAATAGTATTATATCCATATCCCAGACAGAACCATTTAGTGACAAACACAAATATAACTAGTATTCAAAACACAAATGTAAAGAGTTTTGCTTATTTCCACCTTAATTGAGTGGGCTATCATCCATAACAGGCAAATACTCTTATCAGTTCTTACCTCTAACTGTTTAAGTTGGTTCTTCAAAGTTTCTAGACTGTTATCCAGAGACTCTGAGGTGTTTAAGGGAGACTTCATATCCTGAAGCAAAGCCAAATACTCATGCATTTTTGATGTGTGCTGTAAACACTGCTGTAACTCCTTGGAAAACTAAACACAAATTTGGACATTTTAATTCAGTAGCCTCTATGCAGGTTTTCAGAGCCAATAAAATATATGGGATGATTCCCAAATGTTTCATGCAGCTACTTCCATATGGAATATAAAGTCAACTTACTTGTTCCATTGAGCTATCCCCAGAAGTCATTTCTTCTGACCCTGAAATACATTTCAAATGGTCCGGGAAATTGTGGCATTTCTTCTCCAGCTTCTCAACTCTTGGTAAGGGTGATGCTTGTACAGTAGAGTTTTCTGGTCCACTTTTTTCTATATTTTGTGAATTAAGAGAACCATGGTGTCCTTCTTTGCTTTTAAGATCATCAAGAAGACATGGCTTTCTATCCACAATCTCAGAAGTAGGAGATGATTTTTGATTCAAGTTTCCAAACTGTTCTGCTTCATTTGAACAGCCATCAGCAAGCAGCTTACAGAAAATTTTTTCAAGTTGCAGTGGAACTACTTTAGATGTAATACCTATTTTCTCTAGGTCATACCCCATCTGAGTTAATTCTTTTATCAATTCATATGTTCCTGTAATATTTTGGGTATACTGATTTTGCTTAAGTATGTCAAGGAGAAGCTCAGACTTAAGATTTGCAATACAGAATGGATCATCTCTACTCTCTGCTCTTAGTTCTGGTGAGTTGCTCAGGGGGGAAATTCCAGGAGAGTCACTGATCTTCGAGTCATCTCCGGGCACACAAGATGCTTCCTTTACCACTTGTGATGTGCTCATCCTTTTAGTTAAGCTTTGAATTAAAGTTTTAGTGTCTGCACAAGCGTAAGGTTCTCCGACCTCTTGAGAATTCATATGACCTTCTTTCAATCTACTCTTTAAGATGTGCTTTACATCCTCAACAAACACCTGAGATAACTCAGGAATCTGAATCTCCTTTTCTTCAAATGCTGGAGGCAAGGCTTGTTCTTCTTGTGGCTGTTGCCCAATTATTTTTTTCTCACTGTTCATTTCTAAGAATGAGCAGTCAGTACTTAAAGTGTCACTGGAATTATCACTTCGTATTCCTTTCGTGCTGAGGCCTGGTAACACAGAACTAGTATTTTCCCCAAGGCCTTCCACATTTCTCAGAGGTGAGATTGAAAGTGTGCTTTCATTTCTCACTGATGTGAACTGAGCAATTTCTGTTCCTCCTTCTGAGACATCTTCTCTAGTACAGAGGTCATTCTGTTGAACCATCTCATTTACAGGTGAGTCTTCTTGAATGAGGGCTGCCTTCTCTTTTGCATTATCAGTTCCTAATTCTATGTGTTCTTTCATGGGAGGGGAAGCTATTAGAGTGCAGCCTGGGATTTCTGCATTTGGCTTCAGTCCATCTTTTGCTTTTACATTTTTTGCACAATGTTTTGAATAAGTGAACAGATCAAGCTCTTTCTCAGGTCTGTCGGTGAGTAAATCGGTCTTAGTACTTGTATTCCCTTCAGACAATATGTCTGAAGTAGCATCACTGATCACTTTGGAAACTGATGAGTCAAATATTTCTTCAAGATTCTCAAACTGAACAGGACTTTGACTACCAACTGTTTTCAGATTCTTTGTTTCACCTTTAACAGCTATAGTTGCTTTTTTAAGGCTTCCTTTATGATTATGTTCTTCACTGTTTGTGATTTGTGGAAATGGAAACTGACTACTAACTAAATCCAGATTCTCCCTCATCCTTTTACTAGGCAAAAGTTTGCAATGTTCATTATCTTCTACTGGCCCTTCTATAGGATCTTCTCCTGAGCACATTTTATGAATTGATGTTTTATCTTCTGTTAGTATATTGTTTTTCTTATCTCTCTTTTTAATTACATCTCTTCCATTTCCCTTCTGATCTTTATCAGTTACAGAGTCCACAGATGACAAATGACCTCCCTCAGCAGGTTTTCCTGTTAAATCAGGCTCAGAACAAATGGTTTCATCAGAAGTTGAACTGATATAAGTATTATGTAAAACATCCACAGGGCCACAGGTGTCTTCTGATTCAGTGTCTTTAGTGATAGGCAGCAATATATCCTTAAGGGCCGTCTCAGGATTCAACAGATTTTCTTTGCTTTTTTCAACAACCTCAGTTGTGTGTTCTGGAAGATTGTCTCTTTCGGTAACTAAGCTACTTTTAGTACTTGATCCTAGCTGTAAAACATTTACACTTTCTTGTTTTCCTAAAGAATTATAATTGTGCTTTTGGCCCAGGAGAATCCCTTTATTAGTACTTTGATTTTCACAGCTGTTTTCGTTTTCATTTGTGGTGGTAGTACACAACTGCATATTCATGCCTTTAGCCTCATCTTGGCACACGGGCTTTTCCTTCTCATCTCCCCCTTCTGCTCCTCCTCCTTCCTCTTCTTCATCATCATCATCATCCTGATTATTACTGTCACATATGTAATCCCTGTAACTGTCTTCATTTTGCATAGAATCTAAATGATCGGTATCAGAATTAAATTCTTCTCCAGTTATATATTCTTCTCCTCTCCCTCTCCAACAGCCAGTGTCATCAAATTTTAAAGAAGCACTGAAGCTCTCTTCCCTTCCTACAGTTTCAGAATCAGTCAAAAAGTCAGACTCATCACTTTCTAGGCTATCTGCACTTTCCCTGTCTGATACAGTTTCCAGCAACTGTTCATTGACATTGTACGAGTCAAGTGAATTTAAATGTATTCTTTCATCAGCATCTAATTCAGCTTTCTCACTACCTATGAGACAATCCTGAAAAAACTGTGCCTTTTCCCTCACTCTTAAGCTCTCCACTAGCCCTGCCTGAGTCACCATGGAATTTTCATTCTCTTTTGGAACATCATAGAAAATATTGCCAGAAGCAGCCCCAGCATTTTCCTCTTGCAGCGTGTCACAGTCCTCAGGTTGTAGACCATCACAGTCACCACTTTCAAGGAGCAAAGAATCATGGTCATCATCTCCAAACAAGGGAGTATCGTAAAAATCATCATCACTATCACTGTCTGTCTCCGTGTCCCTCTGCTGGTCATCCAGGAGTGACGTTTCGTAGTCACCAGCACCGACAGCCTCTTCATGCAGTGGTGTGCCACAAACATAAGACGCATCAGTACTATCTGTATCGCCCCTCAGTGTTATGGCCCAGGAGTGCTCTTCCATTTTGGACTCATTTTGAGTGTCTTTAGATTTCTGTTGAGAAGCGGCATGTATTTTTTCACCTTCCCCACAAGTATCTGAAATATATTTATCACTGTGATATTGTACCTGAGGATCACTATAATCAATATTTAAAGGTTTTTGTCCACAGCGTTCTCCCTTCAAACTGATGTTAATAGCTGCAATTCCTAGAAACTGGCCTTGAAGATCTCCCACTCTTGGACCCAATAACATGGTTTGCTCATTGGATGGCAATGTAGAGTCTTCACATTTACTTCCATTGCTCTCCATGCTGTGTAAATTATTAAAATTCTCCTGATCATTCCTCAATTTATCATGACTTAACAAGGCACTCAGCCTGGGGGAATAGTCAAAGATAGCTGAGTCTTTGTTTATGTTATCTTCAATCTCTGTTTCTTTCAAGTCACACATTCTACTAGTTTTTGACTTTACAACAGAAGTTGTTATCAAATCACTTGCAAGGTTTTCAATGTTTTTAGGATGACTACATTCATCTGCATGTTCATTTGTTTCAACTTGACTTTGATTTTCACAGTTTTTAGGTATGTTTCCAGAGTCTTGACTAAGTCTGCTAACTTTGGCAAGTTCAGCCTGTGTAAAATATGATCCAGAATTGGAAAGATTCACACTGGATGGATTCTCAACTGTATGATCTCTTACTATTACATTTGCCAAGTTTTCTGACTGACAAAATTCACTGAGAACATTATTTCCCATTTCATTAAACCCTTCATCTAAGGCATGCTTTCTATTTTCAGGCATTTCTTCCTGTTTAGGTTCTCTGCAATAACATTTATCAAAACTAGTTGGTGAAGTTATACTCTTATCCTTCTCTTTACTTGGGGCACTATTCAGAAATACACCAGGGAGCCTCAGGACATCAGTGCATTCTGTCATGGATGTGCCTTCATCAAATTCTGCACTGCAGCCTTCCAGGAGCATAGCAACAGCCTCGTTCAAGTCCCCGTCATACAGCAAAAGCCTCTGCCCTGTGTTCACATCCATATAGCTATTTATCATCAAGTAAGACAGGAATAATCTTTTAGTCTGTTCTGAGCTCTGCGCTGCCACTGGCTCTTCTCCATCAAAAGTATCCTCTTCTTGTCTGTAATCGTGGGTTGTAGATGGCTGGAATTTACAAAAAGAGAGCCATCTCTTGGCATTCTTACAAGCTTCTACATCTCCCAAATCTGGCATTTTATCAGGCAGTATTATACTTTTTAAAATTGATGTTGTATTATGATCTATTATTCCTAGCTGCTGAGCAACATCTAAATCAATGACTTGAGAAGTTTCTGGAATATACAGAGCAGCTATTTTCTGCCTACCGTTCAGGATTTTGTATGCCAGTTCATTTGTAATCAACTTCTGCTGCAGGGAAGAAGATGTGGGAAATATTTCACCAGAGTGAGGCCAAATGAGTCCAACGTAGCCTCGCTGACCCTCTAGTACCAACAGAGCACTGCTTGAGGTTATTAAATCACACTGGACTGCTTCATCTACAGTTAAACGTTTAGCAGGGTTAGAGTGGATGATTCCACCTGTCTGAACCTGATAGGTTAGAATACTGTTGGCAGTATCTCTGTCAATCACCCCTTCTGCCACAGCTTCTTCAATAGTCATTCTTTGACCAGAGCTGCAGTTGACCAGACCTCCAGAAAGAAGCTGTGCGCCTAATAACCTAAACATGGTTTCACGGTCTATGAGACCTTCATGAGCTGCTCTTAAAATGCTAATGTTTCTCCCACATTTTAATGTTATTCTGCCTCCTTCTTGTGGTCTTACAGGTAGAAGCCGCATCCCAGTGCTTTCCTGTAAAATACTTCTTTCCATAATATCCATTAAAGATACCTTCTCAGAGGTACATGGATCAATAAGATCTTTGCATGTATTTTGCCTTTCCAAAACTTTAGAAAATAATGCCAAGGAAACCAAGTTCTGTTGGAAAGCCTTCTGCAGGGTCAGCTGTTCTCCTGTGGCTGGAATGACTAGCAAGCCTGTGGAAAGGAGTATGTCCAGGACTCTGACGGCCATAGCCTCTGATATAACACCTTGAGCCAGAGCATCCAGTGTTGGAACTGTGGTGGAAGACACAGCAGAAATAATCTCCTTTGCTTGATTGAGTTCTTGGAGTTGGCGCACAACTTGTTCATCAATGAGGCCATGACTTTCGGCACCTTTGAGGTCAAAGCATTTTCTAAATTCTGGTGAAATTAGACCAGAAATCATTAGCTGTGTCTCAAGCAACCTTATTCCTGTGTCATAGTCAATAAGGCCTCTTAAAACTGCCTGAAAGACTGAAAGGACTTCTCCAGTTGTCTGATCAATGGTGCCTGCAATCACTTTATCCAGCTGAAAGGCAAATACAAAATTCTCAGGTCAGTTTGGGATTCAAGGGTGGGCAGAGTTTCATGAAACTTGGTGCGCATTTTTTTTTAATAAGTAATGCACTTCAACATAAAAATCCTCTACTTACCAAGGCGTGGCAATGCTGTGAATGTTAGGCAGCTCAAATGCACAAGTGATCTATGTCAGTGATCTATTCAACAGCACAGGATATGATAAAAGCTTTGAAAACAACATGCATCTGTGAATTGAAAACTTAATATCGTGTACATTAACAAGGTTAGTGAAGACACAACAGAGTAAATGATGACAGTGAGAAAACAGAACACATACCCAGAAGGAAAACCATGCTTTCTGCAATTGGGTGAGATTAGTCTACTAACATGAAAGAGAGTGTGTCAAACCCCATGCTACTGATGTTTACAGCATACAGACTTCTTCCCAGTCGAAACATAATGAACTGGAGAAATTGTCACAAAACCCCAAATGAGACAAATAGTGTGTAAAGTACTCCAGGGAGTAAGGGAATTGAATACAAAGATGACTTTTTGAATATTGAATATTGTGAATATGTATTATCAAGTTTTAAAAACTTAAGGAGAGGCCAAATTTTAAGTGATTTCTGTTAAATTTTAAGAAGATGCTAGGGCATCCTCATTATAACATATGGCCCAGTGTTACTCAAATAAATCCCATGATATTTCTGGAAAAAAAAAATCCCATAACACTCCAATGTCACCAGTAGAGGTGACTCCCAGGCTATTTCACAAGTAGAACATCACATTTATATAGTAAAATACCTAATTAGCAGTAGGAGAATGGCTTTTAAAGAGAAGAGTTAGAAAAATGAATGATTCTTTTCCTTCATCATGCAAGGCAGAGATTAAGATGTCACAGAAACTGATGACAGCAAGTGTAATATTGCATTTAATAAACAACACTGAAATCTCCAAATACTTAAGTAAACTCCATTTTTCTCCATGTACACAATTCAGAGTCATTTCTTTACCACTGACTTACATTTCTACAATCATGCAATAAAACTAAGAATCTTGAAATAGCTTCATGTTTTAATAATATTACCTTCTCCTCTACCTTTACATCTCCCACAGTTTCTGACTCTTGAAGTTGTTTCAGAGATTCACTAAATAAATTATAACTTTCTTGAAGAGTTTTTACTTGTTTTTCCAATTCATTTCTTTCTTCATCTGTCATTCTAAAATAACCAGAAAGTGTGAAATGAGGAGTACAAGTCTTTAGGTGATAAAGATGATGTATTAGGCTCAATGATATTATAAAATACTCTTCTAAATAAATAGGTACACAATCATAAAATACAATATAACCTTTTAATATAACCTCAGATAACTCAGGTCTGCATACGAAAATTAAGAATGGCCCTAAACACATCTAGGAATCCTTCTCTTGCCTAAAAACGGGGGACTGAAGGAAAGTTGTGAACTACTATGTCAGCACCTCTCTGTCATATACAAGATTCTGAAATATCAGTAGCTGTTGACTGATAGAGGGAAAGTTGGCATTGTTAGTCCCAACAAGGAAAAGGGACAATAAGGTACCATTATTACTCAAGGCGAAACTTGTTTAAGATGAAGGATAAAGAGGAAATTAACCTGATTCTCTAAGGTACAATAAAAAATCATTCTGGAATAATCCTGAAGTGGACAGTCAAAACGGGTTTAAGAAAAAGGTAGATTCCTTCCCTGCCTGAGGTATTAGCTGAAATAGATAAAGTGTCTTGGTACAAAAAGTAGGAACAACATATGAGAAACCAGGCTTCCCATTAAGAACTCCAAGAACATACACATTTTTTTCTGTTCCCCCTCATTCTAACCTGCTCTCCCGGAGTGAGTGATGGGGCCATACGGAAACACCCTGGCCTATATCACTGGTGGAGGCCTGCCTGTGTCCAGTCTCACTGCTTCTGCATGGGACTGCCTATCATTTTACCTTTTTATCTCCACCCTATTTTCTTCAACTAGCTCCTTATCTTTTTCTCTTTTCCTCTCTCATCTCCTTTTCCTCTGCTTTAATACAAACAACCACGGGATGAAATGAAAGACCTGAATGACTTGACTTTACAAGAGTCATTTCAAGACTCAGGAAATATTTACACATATTTAATAAAATGAAGACGATATATTCCAAAAAACAAATCTCAGACAGTGCTACTTATATTAAGACTTGGCTTGGAATCTTCACAACTCACTAGCTACTAATCCTTATCCTCTGGAGCCTGTTTTCTTATCAGTAATATATGGGGATAATAAATACTTCTCAGGCTTTTGGTAAACACAGGCTAAAGTAACTAAAAATGACAATTACTCAAATTGCTCAATTTATAATCTTATATTATTACATTACTAAGTAAATTTGTGATTGAATTTCATTAAAAAATCTCAAATATAATTTACCATCTTCTATTTTCCTGAGCATTTTTAAGACCACTTTCCTACACTGAATAAAAGGTTAATGAAAACCAACATACTTGTCTCCATGTTTAGCCAAAAATAGCTGCATTGTCTGAAGTGCCTCAGATAACTGTTCCTTCTTGGTTAATATTTCTTCACTGGAAATCTGCAAAGTATGAAAAACACACTCAAATTCTGCCCTCATAGAAACTAACCAACGGTAATTTTAAAAAACAAATCAAGTTTTAAGACCCAAATGATGTCTATTTTCTGGGTGACCCAAGTCAATAACCCATCACTTACCATCAGTCTAGGGGCCTGGATAAAAGGAGTACTTTATATTTAGAATGAATAATTAAGGAAAGCCTTATTATTTCATGAGGAAACAGTAATGCAGCATTATATGGTTCTTGCTTTTGTCCCAGCTCAATCATGAATCAAGGCTGCCTTCACAGCCCAGGTGGCCAGAGATCCAGCACTGGCCCAACGTCATCCTTGTGCCCCCAAATGGCATGACTGGAGAACACTACTCCCAACAAGCGTCTTACTTCGCCCAAGTTCCTGAATACAATGCTACTTTTGAAAAAATTACAGTACAGTTTAATCTGTATGTCTGCTGATCAAGATTAAATAATTTTTATTGCTAAGACGCAGTAGAAAAAGTTGCTCATGATGGTCAGAGGGATAAAATTGATCCATTTGAGGAGTGTAGGTAATACTTTCTCCTAATTCCTCCGTATATCATTTCTGAATACCTAATATCAGAAATTGCCATTTTTTTAAAATGAACAGAAATGAGAGTTAATGATGGGCCAATGAAAACATATCTTTCCCCCTATGTATTCTACTAAGAGTCAACTAAGGTCTATTTTTAATGGTTACAGGTAATAATGAAGCCATAATGATATTTTGAAAGGCATTTATTATTCACATCAAATTGCCTTAAATTCCTTTATCACTGTTATTAGAGATTTATAATTTAGGCCATGATCTTCACTAAAAAAAAGTATCTACTTTATGTCCAGTAGGTCTAAAACTGATGTGGTAAAATTTTGAAGAATTTTAAAACTACAGAATGAGAAAATACCAATGGTTTATAATCCACATTTCTCAAATGCAACTTGTTCTCCCAAGATATCCTTGCTAAGTTATTGTACCTATTTTAGTTCTTTTCCTATTTGACAGGGTGGGGAGGAAAGAAGATATTTTAAACTAAATATATGTATAACATTACTTTGACGGTTTTATACCAAATGTAATTGCTTTCAAGCTTCTTACTTCTTCTACACTTTATGAAATACAGTATGCAAGACTGTGAGCTAATATAGCTTTATTTCAATTGAATAATTCAACTATATGCCCAGGTCTGTAAACTTTGGGGTGGGGGGGGCGGTGGAGGAGATAAATTACATCTGCCTCATATCACAGGGAAAATTAGTTAAGGCACCGAAGTTTCTCCCTATATAATGATGTCAGCAATGTTAATTGATGATGAATGAGTGTTGATGCAGAGCTAGAAAGGGAAGCTAATGATAGCTAACAATAGCCCCTAAAATTTCCAAAGGTCAGGTATGGGCAGAGGGACAATGTAGGAAAAGTTTTCAAGAAAAATGCTGCTTAACTTAGTGGAAATTTTTAAGAACCCAGCTGCAATCCCAGTGCTATCACTAGCAGCAGCAGCAATACTGGAATTTAGACCAATGGCCTTGAAGCTTCGAGTGGAGGCAGACCAACAGACAGCGTGGAACACTAACGTCTCGGGAGCTGGAGCTACCCAGCTAATGCCAAGTAGTTGGGGTACAGGAGATAGCCCACAGAACTAAAGAATTCATCTAAGTAAGGGAAAGAATCTAGGATTTCCAGTCACTAACTGGAGAGCACTTCTTCATAAAACAGAAAATGTCCAAAAAAGCACAACTAAATTCAGTCCTCAAAAATGTTTATCCTAGTTTGTATTTTTGTAATGGTTGTTAAGTTTGGTTCCTCATCTGTTAAGAAAGAGACTGCATACATGTGTGAATTGGAGTGCATGGGCTTTTTCTGGGCACAAAACAGATGCCTCTGCTCTTCACAATGCTCATCACAGTAACTGAGAAGCAGAGCTAATTATTGCTGTGCTGGAAAAGCAGCACAACATATTTGTTCACTAATAATAAGACTAATACACACTTCAGGCTTTGGAATCAGAAAACACCTTCTTTCTGCCTGCCAAATACTGTGATTCATTGGGCAAGTGACTCAACCTCTCTGATCCTCATTATAACTGCCTATAAAAACAGAGTGGGGGAGTAAGGTAATGAATGAAACATTTTTTAGATGGACTGTACCATCTTATAGATTCTACCCACTATTATTATTATTAACCAGGCCCTCAGTGAATACCTTTTGCTTAGAGAAGGGAGATTTTGCAGACTTCTCTCCATCTCTCAATGTCTTGCTGATATTTGATACCCATTTCTGTAATTCTTTGGCTTTTTCAACATGCTCTTTCTTTTCTTCTTCCAGTGACTTCTGACAGATATGAGTAGTAAAAGAAGATACATTCCAGTAAATGACTGAGTCTGACATCTCCATAGAAAACAAGAGTGTAAAAAGGCTTTTATCACACACAGGTTACTGAGATATTTTATTCATTCACTTAACCATGTTTACCATGTCCCTTCGTGGATGTACTTCAAAAATGTTTATGGTAACAAAGGAAGGTGTGACAAACACTCTTTAACCTCCCAGCTGGTCTATCAGTATGACAAATTTAAAAAAACACACAAAATCTTGATTTTATTAATGAAGCACTAGAAAATATCTGTATTGCTGCCTTTGCATTAGCATCACAAACACAATGGTCTTGACAGAAAAGCACCGTATAAGACCTCGGAAAGCTGTAAGAACGGAGAATGCGTGCACACTTTTGAAAAATACACAGAATGAAGAGGAATATTTCTCCCTCTTCCAACACACAATCCATTCATCACAAAGTCTAATTAAAAATGGAAGACTGTAGTAAACATTTAATATGTAAAGAACGTGACTATATACAGAAAACTAAAAACTTTTTCGTGTTTTAAGGCAGTCTAAAACACTAGCCTCAGGGTGCTGGGAGAGAATGTACATCTCTCTTTGATTCCCTGGTGCTGTTTGAAGTGCTCTTTCAGTGAGTGTAAGGGATCATTTAATAAAGGGAAACCCGAGGATCTATTCAGTGATGGAGAGTTCTGAAGAAAGGATGTTCTCTCTGAATTTACTGGAGTTCATCAAGTTTATGCTGTATTCTCAGTAAAATACCTTTATTTTGGTGTGAGCAAGATTGAAAGAACTAATTTCAAAGCTAAATGAAACCATTTTTAAGAACAGTAAATCTTTTGTTTGTTTTTTTCAATTTAAAAATCATTCTCTCTTCTGAACAGTGAGCTATTTCCAGCCTTCCAGAAGTAAATACTGCTTTGAGTATGTGACACAATTATCCGACTGTCCATGCAGCTAACATCATCCTGCCCCAGACAGATCACATGAACTAGACAGCATCTCCCCTGTGCAAAGTTACTCAACATGTCCTATTATGAAGAATAATAGAGGCTAGAAATTCCTGTCATCAAGGGTTCAGACACTTCTAAGAGTTTAAGTCCTGTGTGGAAATCAAAATCTGCATTTTCTAAGGCTTCTTTATAGGTCAACTTTCTTTTTGTTTGGGGACATATTATATTTCTGAGATACGACTTTTGATCTTTGAGGTTAGTCGCAAGGAAGACATCTATAATACTGACCTGGAGAGCCTCTTCTATTGACAACCGGGAGTGACCCTGTGGCTCTATCAACCCCCCGGTCAAGTACTGAAACTCCAAACATCTGATTCCCATTTCCTTACTTATGATATTTGCATTCACAGCTTCCACCACTGACATCGCTTTGTTCTTGACGGGATGGTTAATCCCTGTCATTACTAATTCACACTGTCGCAGCTGCTGGGCAAACCCTTCATCAACTAGGCCTCTGTGCAAAGCTTCAGCCACCCGGTACCTTTTGCCAGTAATAGGATCAATTATGCCCCCTGTGCTGACTTGGGCTTCAAGGCATCTGAGGGCAGTAATCCGATCAATTAAATTTCTACGGGAGGCCTTTAGGACAGAGATCCTTTCTCCACTAGAAGTCAGCCAATACCCTGCAATAGGACTATGCAAATCCTTCTTGGGCACTAACTTGCTCAGCAAAGCATCGGCAAGTTCTGTGAGTGTGATAATGCCTTCCTGGTACTTTTTCAGCAACACTTTGTCAACTGTTCCCTGCTCCACAGCCTCATCAATGTTGAACTGTAATCCTGTTTTAGTGTCAGTCAGCATGTGAGAAGGATGCCCATAGGATTCAAAAAATGTGGCTTCCCTCCATTGGTATTGCTGCCCTGACAGCTCAAGATAAGTACTTTTTTCAATGAGGCTTCTCTGGAAAGCCTCATAGGCTGTCAGTTCTGTTCCTGTCTTAATATCTACCACAGAAATCCTGTGAGTTTTGGACACATTGAGATTGGAAATGTTCCTCTCCCCGAGTGGAAACAGAAAGCACTGGCAATCTACATCAAACACACACATTCGCAGTAATTCTGAATAATACAGAGTTTGCTTGTTATTGGGGTTAGGAAAAACTCTCATGTTGCTCGATGGCTCATGTAAAAACTGCAGGATGGCATTATTTAACAAGCCTTGCTGCAGAGCAATTTCTGGTGGAACTCGAATGCCTCTCACAGGGTCAATGATGCCCCCACTGGCAATCTGGGCCTCCAAAATATGTTTACCTTTTTGTCTGTCAAGCACTCTATTTTCCATGGCTTGAAACACTGACAATGTCTTAGAATTATATGAATATCCCAGGGCTGCCTTCTCTGCCTCAAGGAGCCTAATTTTGAACTCGGGATCAACAACTCCTTTAAGGACTGCATCTTCGACAGAATATGTCTGACCTGAAATGGGATCGATCATAAAACCTGTTGCAGCCTGAGCTTCTAAAAATGCTAAAGCCATCATTTTGTCTATTAGGATTTTCTTGGCTGCTGAGGCAAATGAAATCTTTTCTTTTGTGGATTCTAGATAAAGCCCTGCAATTGAGGTGGCTTTTGTCAAAAACTTGTTAAGAGTTTTCTGAACTTCTTCAACAGTCTTAAGGCCAAGTCGCAGCTGCTCAATTGTTTTCATGTCCAGAAGCTTAGCTTCAACCAACTGCCTGGCACTCACAGTGTGCCGCAGCCCTTGGAATGTAAATTCATCATCCCTAACCGAGCATGCATGATCGCCATCAAAGTTCTGGGAGGTCTCTGGTTCTAAGCCTTTCTTAATAAAATCTCTCTTGAATCCAAGCATCCATTCTTCAGCACTGGAAAATGGGTTCTTGTCTTGTTTTAATGTTGTGACTTCTGTATGCATATCATACTGCTTGTTCTTAGCTATCTGCAACAGGAATTTATAAGGCGTTAAAAGTCATCTAAAGAATATTATGCCACTTTACCCACTCTTAATCCAAATATAATGCCTAGAATAACAAAGATGAGATAAGTAAAGACAAGAAAAATTTCAAACCAAAGACAGTTCAGGAGCAGGTAATACATTTTGAGAGTCTGAAGCTTACTTTAGATGATGATTAAGGCATTAAAATAGTAGAAAGGTGAAGGGAATAAGAAAAAACAAGCAAGCTCACAGACTACAGTATGGTGACTATGAGGGGGAAAGGGTGTGAGGGGATATAGAAGAGGGTAAAGGGGGAATAAATGGTGATGGAAGGAAACCTGACTTGGGCGGTGAACACACAGTACAACATACAGATGATGTGTTATAGAACTGAACACCTGAAACCTATAATTTTATCAACCAATGTCACCCCAATAAATTCAGTTTAAAAAAGACAGGGAAGAAATTTGTCCAGAGAACATGTTAGAAATTAAAGTTAACTGCTTGGTTTTCTAGTTTTTTCTAGTTTTCCAGTTTTTTAATGGGCATATTTTTCAGAATATAATCCCATAGATATAACAGTATAGCCATTATATCTGTGTGCTTAATCTCACTTAAAAATTAAAGATTGATAAATTGTACTAAAGATTCAAGTAAATCACTAGACAATGACAGTATTATTTTTCTGTCAGAATGACAAAGAGCCAATCACAGTTAACATTATTTTTTTTTAAATTTGGTCTAGCAGAGAAAGGAAACAGGAGAGGAAACTTAACATAGGTAGCTGATAGGGTTTTACAGTCCAGATTATACCTCTAATGGTGCCAAAAGCTTCACCAGGTCCACTTCACATTTGTCATCTTGATATCTAACAGGTTGTCTGGAATTGTACAGAGTCTGGTCTCTTATCTTCTCTATTTCTGAGAGTCTTGAACTAGGGTTTTTCTCATCAAAAGTAATTTGAAATTCAGTGCTTGTTTGAGAAAAATACTCAGAGTAACACTGCTGGCTTTTCTCTTTCTCCAGTGGAGTACCTGCTGGCCAGCACTGGACATCCTTTCGTTCCACAACCTGATGTTGCCATTTTTCTTCCGACTGCTGTGGTTCTTGAGTCCATCTCAACAGAGGAGATCTGGCTGTTGGGTGAGACTGTCCTGTGTTCCTAGAGGAGAGGTCCCCAGAGTGTTGACACTCCTTCACTAACACCTCAAAATCTGGTTTGAAGGTACAGTCTTTGGTTGGGCTCTTTTTTGGGATTTCACACTGGAGCAAAACTAATTGATGTTCATGTTCCTTTATCTGTTGATCCATTTTTTGCTTCAGGTTTTCAACTTCACGTTTCTGGGCTACCAGGTCCTCCTCAAGTTTCCGACACTTTTGGTAGTTATTTGCTTCCACATGCCGCCCCTGTTGGATTTGCTCACGATATTGTTGAAGCTGTCTTTCAAGTTCTCTAATATTTGTTTCACAGAGCTTAGCATTCTCTTGAGCTCTGCAGTTTTCTCTCTGAAGAGACACAAAGTCAAGTTTGATGCATGAAATGTCATTTTCAGTGATAACTTTGGAGCCCATTAATTTTTCCATCTTTTTCCGAAACTCCTCTGCCGAACGTTTGAATTTATCAGATTCTTCCTGAAATAGGACCATCTTTTTGTGGGTCATCTGTTCCTCTATGGTCTTTAAGTACAGCTCATCTTGTACCTTTTTCAACTTGTTATTTAACTCTTGCACCTGAGCTTGCTGTAGTTGTACTTTCTGCTCACCCAGTCGCTTTTCCTCTTTGGAAGCATTCAGCTCAGCATTCAGGTTTCTAACCTCTTTCTCAGTATTCCGGATGATAATGTTCTGCTGGTCACACTTTTGTTTAAATTCACTCACTAAGTTTTGACTTTTGGCCAGGTCTTCTTCTAGGCATTTAATTCTTTTATGGAAATCCTGCTCTGTTTTCGTCTGTTTGTGCAAGTGTTCATTTGTGTTGCGTAGCTGTTCTTTAAAACCACTTGCCTGAATTTTCAGTGCTTCACACCTTTGCTGGATCGCTTGTTTCTCTAAAACCACATTGGCTGATTCTGCCTGAATTCTCTGCATCACTAACTTGGTTTCATTATTTTGCCTACTAAGTTCATCTACTTTTTGTTTTAACATTTCTGCACACTTATTACTTTTTGCCAATTCTTCCTTAAGCTTTTGGATTTTATCATTATTTTCTTTTTCAGCTTTAATATTCTGAAGCAACTGTGCGTGGCTTTTCTCAAATTGTTCTTTTAGATGATCTGATTTTCTCTGGCAGATCTGTATTCTTTCATTAGAGAATTCCTTTTCATCCCGAAAAGAATTCACTTGTGAATTTAAGTGCAGAATATCCCTCTCAGTTATTGCATGCGTCCTGGTGATTCTGTCTACTTCTTTTTGCAGTTTCCCTTTTTCCTGCTGAAGAGATTCTAATTCTAGCTCATAGTTGTGCTTTATTTTCTTCAGATCACTGGCTTCTTGCATGACTTCTTCAGCTTTACCCGCAGTTTGGTTCAACTGCCTCCCCAGTTCCCTGAGCTGCTGAGAATACCCTTCCTCTACCTGATCCTTCCTTTCCAACTCTAACTTAAGGCACATTAGTGTATTATTTGTTTCATCTAGTTTTTCTTTTAGCAAGCGAGCCTTTTCCTCAGATGAGGTCTTTTCAAGCTGGAGGGCACTGAGTTCAAATTTGAGTTCCCTCATGTCCTTCTCGGCCTTTCTGTTGGCGGTTACCAGCTCGTGCACCTGCTGCTGGAGCTCTTCTGCCTTCTGTTTGTCCTGCTCTTTCTCTGGGACAGCACATGTGGGCAGCGTACTCTCCCTACATGAATACTGAATCTCAGTTATTTTCCTCCTGGCTTCCAATTCAATTTTCTGCTTTTCTTTCAGCTGTTGCTCTGCGATCTGCTTTTGAGATGTCAGATCTTTTTCCATCTGCTTTATCCGCTTCAAGAGTTCTTCCTCATTGTCTCTCTTTCTTCTTAATTCTTCCATTAACTTATTCTTTTGTTGCTCCAAGTCACTGAGACTCGAATCTTTCCTTTTTAGGTGATCTTCCAGGGTTCTTCTTGTAAATGTGTTTTCCTCTAACTGGCTCCGGAATTTGCGGAGGTTTTCCTCCACGGCCACCCTCCTGGTCTCGGCCTCAGCCGTGAGCCTCCTCACGCGTTCTAGCTCACGCTCTGCAGCCTCCTTCTCCCGCACAATGCTCTCCAGCTCCCTGCGGTACTGTTTTGCTTCACTCTCAGCTCTGATCTTCTGCAGAGCAATGTCCTGAACATTTTGCTGCTGCCTTCTCAATTCATTTTCTGCAGCCTCCTTGACCTTCGGAAGTTCTTCCTCTACCTGGGACTTTTCTTTCTTTAGTTCAGCTACCATTTTCTCCAGTTCACTTATCTTTCCTGTAAGTTTGCTATTCTCAATCATTGTGGCCTTCTGGCGCTGCAGCAGATCTGAATATGCCCCATGGTCAGAGGTCTCCTTACACCTTTTCATCTACAAGAGATGTTTAAAAGCATCAAACCTGTTCTACTCCAATTTGTCTTTAAAAATATGAAGCCAGGCCCAGAAAAGTACTTACAAAAACAAGTGAACCAAAATGCAGAACAAGCACTACCACCATCACCACCACCACCACCACCACCACCACCACCTTCTTCAGAAAGGAAGCTTCAGACAGTCAGCAAAAGGAGAAGGTAAAAACCCTTCATAACGGGTTTTCTAAACCAAAGTATCTTTTTTTTAATCTCTCAGAAATAGTTTGATTGTAAAAATTAGCTAGCTCAGGATTTTATAGCAAGAAGGGACCTTCCAAAACATATTGCTTATAGATGAGAAAACTGAGGTACAGGTAAAATCTACTTAGGGATTTAGAGTTAATGGTTAAATAATTTTGAAAGCTTTCTCAACAGTGTTCTTTCTGCTCTCGCCCACAACTTAGTCCAAGCTGATAAGAACATACAACATATAAGAACCAAATGACATTAAAGAATTTACTTTTCCATATCTAGCCCAATGGAAATTAAAATGATATTCACATCCCTCTGTTTTATGATTAAAGAAACCAAATACAGAATTTTGGGACTGAGAGCCAAATCAGGAAATAATACTTAACATGGGGAAGAAGGAAAATTATACAAAAACTTGTCACTTCTAAAGTCAAATTTCTAACTTGTACAAATTGCCATATTAAGAAAACCATAATCAGAATTGCTAATGCAAAGGCAGCTACAGCTCCTGGTGGCTTTAGAAAAGATGTGCTTCATATACTCACAGATTTGTTGCTCTTGTTAATGACATGCCTCATACAAATCCACCTTGACATGTACCTTTAGATACTCCATAAACACAAAGATATTCATTAAATATAAATGCTTTTTAAAATCTACTTAGGGATTTAGAGTCAATAGATAAAATAAAATGTAAGATTTTTTTTACCTTGTTCATGATAAAATCAACCTCAGCTGGGAGGAGCCCATTTGGCATTAACTACAGAACTACATGGTCAGAGCTCATTTCCAATTACTATTTAGTTTCTCTTTATTAATACCATAAAGTTGTTAGTTTCATATCATCAGCCCAAACCATAACTATAAACAGTTTAAACAAGAGTTGAGAAATTATTCTAGAACATATTTTTTTAAACTGAGAAGCTTTGCTAAATTTCGATAATTTAATTGACATTATAGACCATGTATCTTATTTTGCTTCCTCAAATTTCTTGGACCGTCATAATTCTGACAAACATTTCAGTTGTCTCCTTTGCTAACCTAAATGTGGTTTAAAATAAGAACTCATTTTAAACAGAACTCACTGCAGTCTGCAATACTTAGTGCAATTGCTCTATTTTGTTATCAGAGTCAACTTCTAGTGACACGTAAGCATTTTTTCAGTTTAAATATTAAATTATCAATATTTTTATTAGTTTATTTCTAATATGGTCTTTCTCAATTTTTTATCAAACCCCCTTTAAAAGTTAGCTATTGCTAAGAAGATTTGAGCCTGTTTTTTCTTAGCTATGTTTTAAGGTTTAAAAAATTAAAAATTCTCTCAGAAAAAAAAATGTTATTGAACCCTCAGCATCTTAAAGTAATTTTATTGATTGTTAGTAATCTCACATTGTCTAGATACTCTGAATTTTTTGGCAAATACTAGAAAAGTTACTAGAAATAATTTAGTCCTATTGTTTATTTGCTTTCTTATAGATTTCAAGCTTATTCATATAAAAATACCTCAAGTTTTCTCTAACTTTCCCCCAAGGAGATACACTGTCCTTTAGTCTCAGCAATTAATATTTAATGTACTTTCCTCTCAACACCGACTCAAAAAATCTCTTTACCTGTCTAATATCCATTATAGGTACTCTACTTTCATTTCTAATTTGATATTATCTTCTGAAATTAACTTGCATCCTTCTTTGATTTCATGTTTATTATGGAAAATTCTACTCTCAAAAGACCAAGGTTTCTCATGTGGGTCTTCACAGACTCAGTGGCAGAAACACTACTCTTTGGAGTCTAAAAGCTGAGCTATATACCTTTTATAAAATACACCTTTTACATTCCATTAATATAAACTCTTAAGTGGTAAATTTTTATTCAGGAATTTTTTAAAATATATTTTACATTATAGTATTTGTATTGCCTATATTATTTTGACTTTCAATTCACTATAATTCCTTTACGTTTCAAAGGATGACAAGCATAATTTGTATATATTCAGGCTTTGTGGAAATATGATTTGGTTCTATAATTAGTATCCTACCTCATAAGATAAGCTTCAGCAAAGTGACTTGTATGTGTGCAATAAAGGTTATATATTATAAAAAAAGGAAAAGGACTTAAATTATTTTATTTAAATTTAACAGCTAAAAATATAATTTAAAAGACCTGTGTGCCATTTATACAGAACTGCATCTCTCAAAAAGTCAAAATATAAAAGTTAGGGATTTTTTTCACAAATGAGAGGTGTATGCCAATTATTTGGATGGTCACAAATATTCTGGTTCTCCTCTCTAAGCACAAAGGAAGCTAGTTATAAAGACTTGCAATTAGCTATGTTAGCAATTTAGCTGCAGAAAACTATTAACACTGAACAGACTAAAATAGTTTACAAAAGCAGTCTGATTTTTAGAAACTAAGAAGGTAACATCTATTTAACATTTACTACTGTTTTAGTTCACTCATTATATGCACAGTTATACTAAGTATAATCACCTTCAGAATTTCAACAACGGTCTAATTTCGAATGACTAATGCCAGACAATTTAATAATTTCACCATTCAGTCTACTATTTTTGTCTGTTCTGAGGTTAGGAATAGAAAGCATACCAAGATGATAAAGCAAAGTACAGTCCCTTGAAAAATACATACAATAGCCTGTTATGACAATATATATTCACAAATAACTCCTTACTCTATTTTGTGAATATATACTCTAAAATGCAGAATCCTTCAAAATTAGACTGGTAGTTAAACAATCTTATTATATACCATATCTTTTTGGTTAAAAATAAAAATAAAAACAAAAACAACCCCACAATTCTTAAAATGTACTATCATTTTGTACAAATACCTATTATTTCTAAATTAATGGCTTGTATGTTTTAAATCTGTTTTATGTTTGAAGATGTAAATTAATTATAATACATAAAACAGATGTGTTTACACGGTATTTCTGTAGACATTATAGCAGTAGTCACTATACTTCAAAGAATTATACCTCTCAACTTGAGAAAACACAAAAATTCCGCCAATGTCAACATTTCATAATTTAAGTAGAACCATTTAAGAAATCAAATGGTTCAAATTAGAGTCCTACAGTGAAAATAAAGACTTTTTTTTCTATTTGAGAAAACCTTAATACCAGTCAAAAAACCCGAAGCCTCTACTTGTTTCCATTTTAATTTTATAATTAAATACTTACTTACATATCAGCTATTAACCATGTAAATTTAACCTAAAACCTTTTCTGTTTTTCCAAACCACACTACATACTTCCTTTTTAGTTAGTTGTTCATAGTTAATGGTTACCTCTTCCTCTTCTAGCCTCTTCAGTGAATCACCAGCAAATTTAACGTACTGCGTCATGAGGGTGACCAGAGCAGTGTATCGTGTCCGTAGGTCCATGAACTGCAAGTAAGGAAAAAACAATACAAACATAACCTCCAGGTGTCCTAGTGAGTATCATTACTTACCTAATGGTAAGTAATGGTTATAATATTAACTAGGCCCTGTGACAGCAAAGTACACACTCCCCAATAATGGTGACAGGAATGAGCTTATTACTGTTGCCCAAGCCATTCTAAATGGCAATTCTCTTCTAAATTTAATCAGGAAGTATATTTATTATAATCTGCAATTAATAATTAAACCTGACCAAAGATTTTCAAAGCGTTTTTTGTTGTTGTTCAATTACAGTTGTCCCCATTTTCTCCCCATTACTCTCCCCTTCGAAGGGTTTTTTTGAAAAACTTAGTAAAATGTAATTTCTAGGTAGAAAATTTCTTTTTGGATTGATGAACAGTTTTTGGAGATGGTCAGTGGCCAAAGCTGCACAACACCATGAATGAACTGAATGCCACTGAACTGTACAGTTTTAAATGATTAAAATGGTAAATCTACCATTATGTATATTTTACAATGCAAATATATGAATTTTTTAAAGTATTGTTTTGTTGTACTCCCTCCCTTCTCTACTGAACTTTTATTACCTCTTGAATAATGAGATCTGCGGAGCTCTGCATTCTTCGGCGTTTCACTGGGGATTTTTGCTGTGAATCTACCATGGCCCGGTAGGTCATCGTTTGTAATTCGTAGTCCTAGATAAAGGAGCCAATGAAATTAAATTAGTTGAAGCAAAGTGCTAAAGCGTCCAAATTGGAAGTTAGTTTCACTGAATAACTTCAAAGAAAATATTACAAAACAACAGTTTTTGTGAATCTATCACAATTCCATCCAATCATGAGATGTCCGAAAGGTGACAATAAAATCAGAAACATTTAGGGTGGTCAGGGAAGTTCCTAAGTCTCTTTAGAAGCTCATGGAAACATTTAGTACAACATGCTAGTTACACTCGGCTCACTTTCCTCTAGTCAGGCTAGCGTACTGTGCATCTGGATGGCTAAAGCTGATTCATTGTTAAAGACTTCAAAAAGCATGAGAACTCAAAAAGTTAGAGGTTCTTTCACGGAATACTATAGCACTGTTAGAGAGAAAGAGAGGGGAAGAGAGAGCAATCAAGGGCAAAGAAAGGAGGGAGGGAGCACAAAGTAAAATGAATTTCAGAGCTCTTCAGAGTCTTTCTTATGTGTGTGGAGGGGTGTGTGTGCATGAGATGTGAGACACTGAGAAAATGAACAAACCAAGGGCTGTTGTGTGACTCAGATGTCAAAGAATTATTAGATAGGTGTCAAAAAGTTTCAAATAAAGATTCTCTGTTTTCATTTTAATCCTCAACCAAGGATATGTTTTAGGATTTTAGAGAGAGAGAGGAAGGGAAAGAGATTGAGAAACATCAATGTGAGAGAAACACATCAATCAGTTGCCTCCTGTATGCATCCCAACCAGGAATCAAACCTGCAGCCTTTCGGTGTACAGGGCATTGCTCCAATCAACTAAGCAATCTACCCAGGGCTCTCTGTTTTCACTTTTTAACACAGAGTGAAATGACTTGCAAAGGCTTTAAAAAATTCAATGTAGAATCACAAACCTGAATATTAAATGTGAGGCAGGTAACTGAATCCTCTTACCTTCACTGTAGTTGAGTACTGTTCTGCGTGTTTTTGACACTCATCCATTTTGCTCTGTTTCATTTCTATTTCTGACACCAGCATCTATAAGTACACACAATTTAAAAGAAAAATGAAAAGGAATTTATGTGCTACTGAACTACCTAAAATGCTCAGGAACTAAGAAATATCCACATCATTTAACAGTATAGTTCCTTAGCCCTTAGCACATAATATGTAATGTGCCTTATGGATAAATCACAAACTTCTAGAATAACCCATATAAGTGACCCACCGACATGGAGCTTCTGAAGCAGAAATTATAAAACTTCATAAACATTACCCAAAAGTAGACTGGAAGCCCTGGGCCCCTACCTATTCCTGATCAAAATAGAGCTAGAAATTACTGGCCCATCAAGATAGAGAAAAAAAATCTCAAAGAATTGAACTTTTTGTCAAATATGGCTGTTTAATTTTCTACCACTAAACATTTTCATTTATTTAGGATCCCACAAAACTATTGTGAACAGCTGAGTATCAAAGAGATCTCCGTCCCTGTGATTAAACAATCATTAGGAATCTGAAAATTGCCCCAATGTGTTCCTTTCTTATTCCTCATGGTTTCAAATATGATTTCCAAAAAACCAAAGTAAGTGATATTAAGGGGAGAGGATCCAAAAAATTCAGAATTTATTTATAAAAAAATTGTATATTTATTCTTTTTTAAAAAAATCTTTTTTTAAAGATTTTATTTATTTATTTTTAGAGAAGGGAAGAGAGGGAGAGAGAGAGAGAGAATCAATGTGTGGTTGCCTCTCACATGGCCCCCACTGGGGACCTGGCCTGCAACCCAGGCATGTGCCCTGACTGGGAATCGAACCTGCAATGCTTTGGTTCACAGCCCACACTCAATCCACTGAGCTATGCCAGCCAGGGCTGTATATTTATTCTTAATGTTTAAACTTCAGTCACCTTCAAAGTACTCTCCATTTGATACAATACACCTACCAAAATGTTTTCTCCACTGCTCAAAAGTTTTTGAACAGTCATTGATTTTGATATCTTTTAGTGCTTCTGCCATTTTTTGTTTCACCTCTTCCACATGGGCAAAACGTTTCCCTTTGAGGACTATTTTTATCAGGGAAACAAAAAAAAAAGTTGCTTTGGGGTAAGATCTGGTGAATAGTGAGGGTGGGGCACGGGGGTCATGCTGTTTTCAGTCAAAAACTGCTGGACACTCAGTGCAGTGTGGACAGGTGTGCTTGTAAATTATCCACCATGAAACAAGCAAACACGTTGAAAGAGTCATCAAAAAAAATTCAGAGTCGGAACACAGCCTCTCCCAACAATGCCAGCTGGTACACTGATACAGATGGGTTTCTAGAACACTCGCCTAGCAGCAGAAGCCTGCACTACAAAAGGTCCGCCCTCCAGAAGATAATTCCAGGTTTTTGGGGGACCCCTTTATATGTAAGTTTGGATTGCAGGATTTTAATATTTATGATTTATTTCCCACCTTCTTCCAAATAGCTGCTGGCTATTTCTTTTAACAAGGGAAAGGAAGATAAGGGTCATTAATGGGCAAATGTAGATATAGCCTTAGTACAAGGAATTGTGTTCACATACCTTTTGTTGATTTAACTGGGTGGCTAGGGTTTTACTATTTTCAGGCTGATTTTCCTGAATCTTTCTCTGAGTAATTTCAACTTGTTGGATCCAGTCATCTAAAGAGTGATAGGTATCTCTGTAGTACTTCAGCGATTTGCCAATGCCTTCTAAATCCCGTAATCTAAGAAAATCGTAACAGAGTAGTTATAGTTTCTAATAGTATCCATTAGGAGGGTGAAAGGTATAGAACAGAGAAGGGAGAGACAAAATAACTGTTCTCTAATGCACTAAACACAACAATAGGGGTATGTGTAGAGAAAGCAAGGTAACAGCACACTGAAGAACATCTCCAAGAGCATTCCACAGGGCTCAGGTTGAATGTAAATATTTTATTCCTGGTGTTGTACAGCTTATATTGTTTTGAGAGTCATGCACCTGATTATCCTAGGGGCAAGTCCAAGAAACTAAGGCTAAAAAGCAGGAAAACTGAAAACTTAACCATAGTTACTATCAATCAACATGTCTTAACTACCCAAAGCTTGCATCAAATGGCAGTTCACTTTTGAAATAATGACAAGATAGTTTATTGAATGGTTCAGCATGGAATGAGAGAGTACTTTCCAGGAGTTGTGATTAAATATTTCAGTTTCTATGTCTTAAAATCATTACACTAAACCTATATGTCACATAATTTAGAGATGAAATATGTTATATTTGAATATAATTTTACTTCTCAAGAATGGTACTACATCATAAAAGGATTTTATTTGCATTAATAGAAAGGTGAAATGAATGAGAAAAGACACTATTCCATTTCTTTTAAGATGAGCCCTAAAACCATCAAATTTCCTTTCGCTTTTTAATTTCAGTCACTGGGCGAATGACTTCAACTTTCTTGTATCTTTAATAGAAAATGAACATCTCTTCGGGCTGGTATAGAGTGCTGCTGCAGCCCTGCAAAACATATGGTCCATGCTCCTATTGAGTCTTGTAGGCTGGTGATAATTTTGAATGATTTAAATATTGCATTTGAATATCATAAGCTGGCAATAAGTAGAGAACTATATTGCTTTTCCCTTTAGGAAAAAAGCAAGCAGATTAACTATGCGAATGCCAGAGTATGTCAATAGTTTTAATAACATAGTTAAAAATATTGATTTTGAAGTTAAATGTCTTACTTAAGTCCACCATGTAACAAAGAAATACAATTAGAGATCTTGAAATTAACACAATTAACTGTATATGGAAATTAACTATGTATATGAAATTAACTATATATAAAAGTTTAGAAAGAAACAGCCTAAGTTCAGATTTTATCTAGACTCCAAGGATAGACATTAAATCAGTGCTAAAACTGAACAAAAAGGATACGAACCTGTTGTCGATCTGAGTGTGAACGTTTTGCCACCTTTCAGCTAGCTGATCTGCTTTCTCTTTGTGCCAGTCAAAATCGAGGTCCCGTTCTTTATATGTCTTAAACATTTCATCACTGATGGCTTTTGCTTTCTGTAGCTCATCCTCTAAGTCATGGAACACCTCTCTCTTTTCATCTACTTCAGCTCTCCATTGCTAAAATACATTAATTGGTGAAAATTATAAAAATGTGTCAACCACTCACTGGGTAAACATATTGCTTACCTAATTTTACAACTTATTTACAAATGACTGACATAAAATCAGAGAAAGGAAACATTATCTTTCATATACAAAAATAATGTATGCAGTTGGACCTTACAAAATTGCCAATATTTGACTATACTTTGATCTAAAAAACAAACCCTGACAATTTAATAAAATTCAGTGTAACAGAATTTACATATCAATACTCCATAAGCAAGTCAGCTACCTCTATAAATGTCTTTTTCATTGATTATTTCTAAAATATGTATTAATCTCTTGGTTTAAAACAGAGTGGACGCATTAAAAAATCACTGAGATAACTTTTCACAATTGTTTTTGCAATAGTTTTACTTGGCTCTGCACGCACATCTGTAGGTACAGATGAGTACGACCACCAGTCTTCTTTCTTCCCCAGGTTAATTCCTCTAGTTCCTCCTTGATCTCTTCAAATAATTGCCTCTTTTCAGCAAGAAAATATATTACCAATGATTTAATTTTTAATTTTAACTCCTCTTGATTATAAAAAGCTGCAGTCAAGAAGATTCAAACTTTCAATGAGAAGAACTTGCTTCAAATTAAAAATGCCTGAACATATTTATTTGCAGTTAGCTATGGAATTATAGAGATGTGCAATGAATGACTATACACATAATCAAGCTAAGATATTTAATGGTTGATTTTTGAAGATCTAAATGCTAGAGAAATTAATTTTAGAGTAAGATTTTGAAAACAGCCAAAAACAAGACATACCTTTAAAGTACTTATTAGATTCTCGATATTATTCTTGTCTGCTATGACTGCTTCTTCTTCACACAGTTTAGTTTCATAGAGTTTTACAAGGGCTTCTGCAGCTTGAGTGTTTTTTAATACCAAATTAACAGTTTTCAACCTAATAAAGAGAATTAAACAGTTCTAACGGCAAATGTTTATTTTTCTTTAAGGAAGTCCTAAAACACCATTATAATACATACTATAGCGTGCTCTTCATCTTGAATCACTGACACATTAACTACAAGACTAATATTCATCCGACTCTTTTCCTAATAGACAGCAAGAGCTCCAACCCATGCCCTGACTCACGAGCAGTGTCTAGCCAAAGATTCCAAGATAAGATGGTCTTCAAGCCTTGTTCAGACCACACTTGAGAGGAAAAGCCTACAGGTTGCAATAGCTAAGCTACCAAAATATAGGCAAAATGTGGGAAGATCATATATTATTCCCTAATCTCTGTGGCACATGCCCTTTCACCATGAAGCAGCATCAGAAATCCATAGAAATAATTAATATATTGTCATAAAGAAATAAAAGTAGATATTTATATCCATAAAAATGAATATTTTTAAATGTACAGCTTATACATAAAAACAGGGCAGTTGTATGAAGCACATTTATATTAAGACAGTGGACACATACTTGTCTATATAAGTGGAAGACATAGAATAGACTTGGTTCATGTTCTGAATGACCACACTGAGCTCAGACCGTAAGGTGGGAACTGATGCAGAAGCTGCTGCTTGACTGAAAAATTCTTCACATTTATTTGTGATTGTTCCCAAATCATCTTTAAGACGCTCCAGCTCTTTCTTTAGTTTCTATAAAAGAGAGAACAAACATCGGTATTCAGTTTTCACTCCAGACCAGGCATCGTTCTTTAAACAGTTTTAAAACTCACATTTTACATTATGATCATTACCTTAAAATTCTACATATTCTTTACTTTCTCTTTATCTAAGAAAACTAAGCCATAGCATTCAAGTGTTATTATCAGTAATTCCTTTACTGCCCACCTTTTCAGACCAAGTATTTACCCAATGCTTTTGCACGTAGCAGATGATCAACAAACATCTAATGACTTCCACTGGGGGAAGCCCTTACTGCCTCCACCAAAGTGAGCAAGAGGGCACACCTTCCTCTGTTTACATGAGTCAGAGATAGAAGTGAATTATAGAATCCGAGTTTACAATATGCAATAAAAACACAATCAGACCTCACAAAGTGTCACTGGACAAAGTTGAGCATGTAAGAAGTCACAGCAGTTGACAGTCATTAAAGATAGTAATTTACCTTAAGTCAAATTTTGTCCCAACACATTTATAAATCTCACCTCCTGCTCTGTGATTCTGAACACACTTTCATGCAAATCGTCTCTTTCCAGCGGAGTTCGGATCTGTCTGATCAACCGATCTTCACAGTTCTCTAACCGAAGTCTAATGTTTCTCACTTCAGAGATGTAGAGATTGTACACTGATTCCTCTTGCTCCTCTGCGAAAGCAAATATAATGTTCAGAAAGTACCTTGTTTTCTATCTTTTGGATGCTCTTGCTTATGTTTGAATATGGCAGTTTTACTATGTCTTGGGGCACGGTGAGTCAAAGTAATGTTACCAGCTATCATCACAAACCCAATCTAAATCTTTGTAAACTTTACAATTTACAAAGATTTAATAAAATTCCCTTAATGCCATTTGGAGTACCCATTTCTGATTTATTACATCCAAGAAAAGTAATATATTGCTCTTTTATGTTCATGAAAAATGTCAATCACATTAGTTGCAGATTATAAAAATTAAATAAAAATCCTTAAAAATTAAACATAGATTAAAATGTGTTACTGTTTTAAATTTTTAAAAATAGAATATTACTAGTACAGTTTTTGTCTCTAAGTAACTTCAAAAGACAATGTAATAAAATTTATACTTAACAAAAGTTAACTACAAAATGTTTTTTCCTTTAACCTCTGCATCAAATCCAAGATTGGTTATGGAAAATCTCTGCACCTTCCTCTCACTTTTGCTTTGAATCTAAAAGTGCTCTAAAAAAGAGTATCATTGGTTTTTTTAAGATTTTATTTATTTAATTTTAGAGAGAGGAGAAGGGAGGGAGAAAGAAAGGGAGAGATGCATCAGTGTGTGGGCCTTTTGAGTGCCTCTTACTGGGGACCTGACCTACAACCCAGGCATGTGCCCTGACTGGGAATCAAACTGGTGACCCTTTGGTTCACAGACTAGCACTCAATCCACTGAGCCACACCAGCCAGGGCAGAATGTCATTTTTTAAAATCCAAGATTGATACATAGAAAATAATTAGGCCCTGGCAGGGTAGCTCAGTTGGACAGAGTGTCGGCTAGATACCTCAAGGTTGCAGGTTCTATGCTTGATCAGGGTACACAAAAGAATCAATCAATGAATGCATAAATCAGTGCAACAACAAAAACAATGTTTCTCTCTTTTTCTCTCTCAAATCAATAAATTAGAAAAAGAAAAATAACTGAATCTTTTCTGAAATGAAAAGACCATCACTCTGAACATGATATTGCGAAACAGTGAAAATGTTGAAAAGTAGATGCATTAAGATTTCATTGTCTGTCATACTGTTTGGTTGGCATCTTTTAACTAACTCATCATTTAGGAATAAATTAATCCCTTTTTGCAAGTTCTCACCTTAAGCATGCTTTCAACATTTCAACAATTGTGTCTGCCCATCATAGGCAGAGTGGCATAACACACCTAAGGCTGAAATTCCCATTCAGGGCAGAAAATAGCCTGTACTAAACACCTATGGGAGGTGGAAAAAAAAAAAGGATTCCCATACTTTACCTCGTTCTGCAGATTTAAGAAGTTCTTGATAATACTGCTTACACACATTAACCTCCTTTTCTAGCTGTGTTATATCTGAACCTGAAAATATTTGGGATTCCTGGCTATCTTCCAGAAAATCTTCAAAACGAGACTGTAGATTACTCAGAACTTGCTGATGCTCACCAGGTAACATTGTCTTTATCTGAAGAAGAAAAATGACCATACAATTAAGTGACCAGAGTCCTCAGAGCTAAATTTAAATGGGACAGATCTCAAACTAGGGTCTCATGGTATAGGCCAGTTTATATTAATCATCATAAATAGAATAATCATTTGAAATTAATTTTCCTCTTCACTAACAACTTCAGGTTCTAAAAGACAAAGAAAAACAAGACTATAAAATTCTATAAATGAAGTTACACTGTACTCAGCTCTAGAAGTCCAAACACTATATCTTGTCTCCCTATCAAAATATACTAAGCATTAAATGAAATGTGAGATCTCCCGGATTTCTTCGAAAGCTCCCTGTATACAATAGGTATATAACAAATAGCCATTGAGTGAATGAATATTGGCTCTGCTGAACTCTATCCTATTCTATAGCAAATGCAAACTCTACTCTTCATAACAAGGTGCCCCATGTTTTTGGACAGATTGGGTTGAGGTATAGGTTTACACTTACGGAAGCCACATTGCTAGCCCGAATTTTATCAATTTCATTGATGAGATAATGCCAGGATACTACACTCTTCATATTTATATGCGTCTCATGCCAAAGAGTTAGGACATTCTGGTACTGTTGCTCAATTCTGAAATATGTGAAAGAAAACACAGATTAAGCTTTTTTACTCCCTCTGAAAACACACTACAATTTTTTTCTTTTGTGTATGTGTGTGTGTATGTGTGTGTGAAATATCCCATGTTTACTAGTTTTAGATCCTTCTGATCCTGTGGGCCTAGACAAATGCCGGTTATTTCTTTAACCTTCAGAGAGCTTCCAAGACCAGGGGTCTGTTTTTAGCTACTGCATACGTACCTGTTTGCAAAATCAACCGCTTCTTTGTTTGGAGGTGGGACTGTGAAGCACACAGATGGCACCATCGCCTCATTCCCAGTGGGGCTAATGACTTTCCACTTAGCACGATGAGAGTTGTTCGCCAAAACACATTCATCATCTTTGTAAATGGTTATCTGATTTAAAACGAAGAACAGAATAGCTAAATGAAATCATTGTTGACTAATCTTTTTTCCATACCCAAACTTGGGTTTATTGGTGTGTGTGTTTGTGTGTGCGTGCGTGTGTGTTTTTGTTTGAGGTGGAAAACTTTACTAGTGAGCAATATGACCTCATTTTTTAAATATATGCATAATGCCAGGAACTGGTCTGTTTCTAGGAGTCGTGAGTACCTCAATTTGTCTGTAATCACAGATGGCTTTGATTGGAATAGATGTTTTGAGCAGACAGTCCGGATTCCTAGGCTTCAGCTGAATTATGGTTTTTGCTCTCCCCATCAGGCTTGCCACTGTGCTTTTATACTGCAGAAGTTCTTCTTTCTCTTCCTAAGTAATAAATGAGATGGATTTTAAATGGTAGAAGATTTGTATTCTGTGCTGTTTTAGGGCTTTCCACAAACGTAACCATGAGAAAAGCCTGCCCTGACCCCATGATCTAAATTTTCAATCCCTCCCCACTCCCTCTTGTATGTTTCTGCCCTTGTTTTGTTGTGTTTTTCCTCTTTAGCATACAAATATATTTTACTTATTTCAATGTTTATTATCTACTCCCACCTCTAGCATGCAAGCCCCACGAGGGTAGGGATTCTTGTCTGTTTTGTTCATGCTCTATCTACAGCAGGTAAAACAGTACCTGCAACATAGAAAATACTTAACAAGCATTTGTGGAATGAACGACCACACACACACAGAGAACACTGTTAAAGCATTTTAAAATAACAAGGTTATCACATAAAAAATACTTTTTTATGTTTGTTACCAAAAAAGATACTAAAACAATGTTTAAATGCTTAATTAAATGAAGTGGAATTACTAAGACTACCAATAAAATATAAAGTCCTGCACCCATAAAAATATAATAAAAACGATCTAACCCCCATGTTGCATTACTAATGAAGTTCCTAGATTTTCTTAGTAGTACCATTGACTCCTGCACAAGGTCTTCCAGCTTGTGAATGCTGCTCGATCTATCACAGCTGTACTTCCGCTGAATGGCATCTTTTAGATTCCTTAAGTAATCATTAGCTTCTTTGGCATCATTGAAAAACTGGGGGAAGACAAAAACTGGTAGTTCAAGTATATTAAATACCAGTAAAGCACACAGTTACCCAGTTCAATTACAAGGGCCCTGTGTGTAGCCCTCATCAGTGGGAACAGCATAAAATCAAATTAGTACAACTCAATAGCCACATCCTTCCTTTAAAGAAACAACTCTTGTACTTTGATAATTGTGATTGAATACTAAATGTCCAAGATTTACTAAATTTGAAACAATTGTAGGGGTGAAATTCCAACAATAATTTAAAACTTCTGAAGAATAACAAAAAAGAAGAGCTGTCTGTAATGACTACCTGTAATAAAAATACTTCCTTAATAAGAGATGCATTTGTGAAATAAAGATTTTTCTGACACTTTAAGGATTTCCTCCTTAACAGAATGCTTCTATGTGTCCTATAGAACATATATGCTTTATATCCGACAGCAATCAAAATTCTGTTTATTTCCCCAGCACATTACAGACATGTATCTTACAACAGATTATGAAAACATTTTCTGTAAGTCAGCCAACATCACAGTGGCATCGACTAAGGCTGTGATTCCGTTCCCATACCTCGAAGTAAGCAGTGTTTTCCTTGATGTGTTGCTCCACACACTGGCAGAGCTGCAAGATCCAGCTCCACTGCGTCTGCATCGCTGCGCGGTAGGCCTTGAGGACAAAGCACAGCTACAGTCACTGCTGCTGGACAATGGCAGGCGTGCACCACAGTGCTTCTAGGATCAGAGACTCCACTATCTACACAGATGGTAGGACTTTGTTTTTACAGATTAAGACTTGAAAATCAGGGTAGTGAATGTCCCTCTAACCTCAAACTATCACTTGCCTAAAGCCAGTCTTAAAAGCTGAAATATAAATTTTTAAGTCACTCCAGTCAATTTCCTTCAAATTTAAACTTTCCATTTATTCCTTAAAATATATGAGAAAAGCTAACTCTGGTTATTCATACATGAAAAAATATTTAACATTTGAAATAGAGGCCAGCAGACCCTGTGCTCCTCTCCCAGCCACCCTTTTCCCACTCTGTGAGATCCTCGTCCGACTGACCCTGTCCCTCTTTCTTTGTTCTTTCTTTTTTCTGAATTTTACATTACTGGATCATAGGACAGACCTGGTTCCATAGATTTCTCTTTGTTTTGCTTCTAAACCCAGGCCAGAAGATCTTGGGACCAGGGGCAGGGATTAATTTATTTGTTTGTTTTTACCAGGAAAATGTTTGGGGAGGGTGGAGAAGAGAGTATACAATCCCCTATCACTGTAATTCTGGAGTTATAATAATTATAATACTAGAAATTTTTACTAAAAATATTTTATTGCTTTAATTTATATTTTAGATAAAGCATATCTTTCATGAGGGCAAAAATATTGTAGAAGACACCTAGTTCCTTAGGGAAGCATGCAACACCCTTTTATACTGAAGGTGCAATTCACTGCCTTCCAGAAGAGGGTGCTCCAGATACTTTAATGGCTACCTTAACTAAGCCTGTCACACTGGCTCCTTTTGGAAAACCTCATTTCCAGCTGAGGTATGCCCAGACAGGCATTTCCAACGGCACTGGAAATGTGGCAACATATCATAATTACATTACCTGCTCCCTCAAATTAAGCCACTTTGAGTAAAATAGCTATAAAAGACATTATCATGCATTGTTAGATTATTAGTTTCTTTTTCATATACAATATGAATATTGTTGATAATTAACTATTATCCTTGTACCCACAAGACACTGAATAGGCCAATGGAATCATAAAGATGACTAAGGCTTAATTTCATCCCTCAAGAAACTTTTAATTACATTAAAATTTCTACATGAAAGTAATCAGGTTCATATCCACATTTTCTATTTTCAGCAAAATTCTTAACCTATAATCAGATTCTCCAATAGCTTTAATCTCTCTACTCCCAGGAATATTCCATTTTTAGTTTATCATTGTACAAAAGTTACCCAGATGCGCCATTATTCTAATTTCCTACCCTTGTTGTCCCTCCTACTCTTCTGTGTCTATAACATTCCCAGGTAGCATTTCATGCAGATGCACAACCCTATTTTCACATACAAGAAGGTCAAATGAAACTTTCCCATACTTCCTAATGAGGCCTAGAATTTTACTAATCTTTTGTGTCATCATGATTTCAGTGAACAGAGACATTCCTTTCCTCAACTGAGATAGTTGGAAGCATGTCACATTCTAAGTACATTTTTTTCCTCTGGAAATACACATCTACCCATTCTTGATGCTCCTTGCCCTCTTACTTACCCCCACTTCACATTTATAAAGTCACTAACTCTAACTAGTGTATATATCAGGTCCCCAAAAATTAAACACAACACTTTCATGCCACCACCAACCTCACTACATGGGCAACCTGATAAATCCCACATCAACTCTCCACTTCTGGATTTGATGTGTGCACTCTGTACCATGAGGCCTCATCAGGGTATTATTTCAATGCACTTCACAAAACCAGATCATAAGTAAAATTATTAATTAAATAATAGTACAATTAAATAATTACTAATTAGGTAATACTTAGTATTTAAATAATTAATAGTTAAACAATTATTAAACAATACCTTTTAAGAACATACTACATACCAAGAACTGTACAAAGTAATAACAGTACATTATTGCCCTCACTCTCACCACAACTCAGTGGGTTAGAAACAACTTTCCCATTTATGAAGGTAGATGAAGTTTAGCAAAGTTACATCACTTGTGCAATGTCACACTGTCAGGAGGAAATGAAACATCAAAGCCTGTCAAGTCAAGGTCCTTCATGTTCACTGCAGTATGTCTCTTGGGCCACAGGGGTTAACAAAATTACCTTTAAGTGGCAGGTGGGTGACACACTTGGAGTGAAAGAAGTGAAGGCAAATCAGCATGACTTAGAAATGTGACTTTTGAGCCAGGTTGTAATAAAAATTTGATAGTTTCCATTTTTCAATTTATCAGCTATAAAACAACTTGAAGGGTAGTAATCACATGGCAATATTCAACCATGACTATAACACCTCCTGACTTACCTCGATAGTTAATCGGGCTGGGTGGTTTTCCAGAAGTAGCTGCTCTGCTATCTCCTGAACTGACTTAATATTTTCTTCCTTTTGCTCCAGTTCTCTCATTAATTCCTAATTAACAAAAGAATTCAGAAATATGTTAGAAAAAGATCTAACCCAGAAATACAACTTCAATATTCAACTATAAAGGTAGCACTTACAGCATGGTAATCTTTTTTCCGAGCTATGTTGGTATTTCTTTCACTCCAGTCATAAGCAACCTCCTCCTCTTCTTTCTCATTCAACCAAATAAGTTCATTCGTAGCACGAGATATAAAATTATGGAGTGTGTCAAGGTGCCGTTCCTGATTCCTGGATGTATTCTTTATAAGGAAAATCATTTGTAAGAATTCACATCTTTGCCAAATAAAGATAAGGGGAAAAGAAAGCTTAAACAAACTTACCAAGAGTTTTGCATACAGACTCTCTAATCTGTGCAACTTTTCTGCATAAGTTAGTTTAAGAGGTGCCATCATTTGGATCTAAAATATGGCATAAAAAATTGCCATTAGGAATCTTAAAGAATTCTGACTCATATTCAGTGTACCCATTACCTTGTTACAGGGTCTTTATATAAAAAGCAAGTCAGTAAGCTAAAATCAAATATGTTCAGATTTTAAATTCATATACCTCACTGATCTTAGCTTCTTTAAGGCTAGATTCAAATTCTTCAATAGCTCGGTGAACATTTTTATGATTTTCTAAATGGCTTTCAACACTTGGCAAATCTGATCCCCATTCAGTGCGGTCCAGCTGCCCCTTTAAACAGAAAGACACTAGGTTCAAAAAAGAAACTGACAGCAATAAAGACTGAAAATCTCAGGTAAAGTAAACATTTTTTTTTACCTGCATTTCATCAACCCAATTCAAAAGGTCCTGAACAAATTTCATGTTGATTTCCTCTTCTGTTAAATTCTGATCCAACAAAGAAGACTTTAGAAGAGGCTTTCGGATCTGCATCAACTTCAGGGTTTGCAATGAATTTGTCTCTACTCCTGAATTGAAATTTGGAACTAATCCAGTTGTGAAACCAGGTGTATAAGCTGGAGTGAGGGATGGAGTTAGGTGGGAAGACAAACCTGAGGACAGGCCTGATTTCATACTAGAAGGGGTCAGGGAAGGCGTGAAACTCTGGGTCAGTCCTGAGTTCAGACTGGGGTTTAAGGTCTGTGCAAACCCTGAGTTTAAACTTTGAGTGATTCCTGATATCATGAGCTTCGTCTGTTCTGTCGTCAGCATGCGTCCTTTGCTGTACACTGAGGAACATTCATTCCTTAAGGCCATAATTTCATCACGCAGTTTGGCAACCCTGAAAAGAAAATCAAAAGGGTCAAGCTATAATATAAAAGGCATTTTTTATAAAGAGTGGGACCTAAGGTAAACTATGGACTTTACTTAACAATAATGTGTCAATACTGGCTCATCAATTACAGCAAATGTATCACACTAGTGCAAGATGTTAATGGGGGAAGAGGGTATGCAAGGAGGCATACGAGAACCCTCTGTACTTTTTATTCAAGTTTTTAAAATCTAAACTGCTAAATAAAGTTTATTATTTGAAAAAGTTGTCCTGGCTGGCGTAGCTCAGTGGATTGAGTGCGGGCTGTGAATCAAAGCATCGTGGGTTCGATTCCCAGTCAGGGCACATGCCTGAGTTGCAGGCCATGGCCCCCAGCAACCACACATTGATGTTTCTCTCTCTCTTTCTCCCTCCTTTCCCTCTCTAAAACTAAATAAATAAAATCTTTTTAAAAAAAAGAAAAAGTCATTGTAATAATCATACTGATAAAATTTTGCACCATAATTTTTCCACTGAATTGAGCACTTTCATTATCACACAGCCTTTATAACCATCATTTATAATATAATTACTAAACTGTAATGTGACCATTCTCATTTTATTTGACCTTTAAGATATTTCCTAATTTTTGTTATTATAAAACATTTCTCAAGGGAACAAAAAGCTATTTGTCTATATTTGTTTAATATGTTTTATTTTTATAATTACTACTATAGATTCCTAAAAGGAGACTATATCAAAATGTCATTTACAGTTTTTGCTTTATATATATGTTTTATATATATACATACACACATATATGTATATAATGGCATACAACCCAAAAGGTTCTATCTCTAATCCCAAACCTACTTTCCAGAGATACAGATTTTATACACATATATTTTTCTAATATTTTGTTATAAAACATTTTCATATAAAGAGAAAACTAGGAAACTGAATTAAAAAAGAAACTTTTCAAATATATTCCCTTTTTCAAATGTCACACATATTCGAACTACATGTTCATTACTATAATATTAAATATTATATGTATTATAAAATGTTTTTCCATTACTTATCTTTGAAGAACAGATACCTTTTTAACACAAAAAATATATAGCAGAATTAGTGACATGCAATTGCAAGTGAAAAGAGCTTACAAAATGAAATTCCTAAAATTGTCACACTCTCCATTCCTATCATAAGTGCCCATGAAATAGTTATGCACAAGGACAGAATATGAATAAGTAAGCAGCACACTGACCTCTGCACCAATTGATCTGCATGGTAGTACTTTCCATCAATGAGTATCTGCACATCAATTACATGCTGGCGTAAAAGGTTCTCACATTCAAGTATATACCCGGCAATTTCTGCTTCATTCTGAAACTGCACTCCTGATTCTAATCTTTTAGAATCCTGTATTTTAAAAGAAGTCAATATTAATTCTGTGAAACAAAGTTTCAAAACTAGTGTCAAATGTAAAACTCAAAATATTGAAACACAGGGCTACTTAGGTTCTCGGTTTTCCCTTTCAGTTTAAATGTATGCTTTGCCTTTGCTCCCTGTCCCTCAATAGAGCAAATAGCACTCATAATCTTTAACAAACTCTAAGTTTCAGTTGACAAAAACACCAAGAATTGACCAAATGTTATAGAAAAGTTTTAGTCCATCCGAATGCACAGACCCCACTCTACCACAATCCCACTGGCTCCCAAAATCAACTTACAGATTGAAGAGCATTTCGAGCAAGTATCAGTTTGTCTTCACAGATGACACTGTCTCTCTGAACTCGGTTGGCAATCTGCTGCAACATTTCCAACCTGAAAGAAGGAACAAAATAAAATACAGCTTTCCCTTTGAAGTTGCAGAATTCGCAATCACGGAAAAAGGCTGCCCACCTGAGAAGTAAAACACAATCTCACACCACTGACTTAATACCTGTGTCCATCCAAGGATTCATTGCCAAAGCTAATGCAGGAGTTGATCAGTGTCGGACCACAATGAACAGAAAGAAAATTTTCATTTGAATCAAGACTGGTTCGAGTGCTAGTAGTGTTACTGAACACAGAATCACTACTACGGTAACTATAACTACTACTGTGCATTTTTATTCCTGAAATGTTCCTTCTTGACCATTACAGATAGACAAAAGAGTAGGCCTGCAAAAGGCTCTACTTCCAACAGTGAAAAGTGGCAACAGAATGTTACGACTTTAATGGCTCCTTAAATATGCTCCAACATGCATATTCAACACACAGCAAATAATATGCTGATAACTATTCAAAAGAATCTCGCCTAAAGCCATGCATTTGCTTGCTGAGGTCTGCCTTTTGTAGCTTGCATTAAAACCCTGCAAGTACAGACAAGGCAGACTGATGGGCGTCACTGAAAAAGACTGGCCAAATATTTTCACCAGGAGTCATCAATTGCAACCACCTAAAAAACAACTCAGATGCCTGACCAAAACCCAGGTACAATTAGTAAAAGTTATTCAGGCTACAGCAAACACCAGCTAAACAAACACAAACATTTAATTATAGCCTGACTTTTGTAAAGGGCCAGATGTGTACTGAATAACACAGGGCTAAAAGCTGGCACCTCAAAGTATGTATAAACAAATTTGTTTGATGAGAAACAAAGTCCATTCCCATTTTAACAACCATGTCCTTTGTTTGTTAGGTTAAATGAACTAAGAAATGATCCATTTACCTTTCTTAATTTTGATGTGCTCTCGGGAATGTTACTCTAATCTTACCACAGTTACTTTATATTCTTAAAAGCCTAAGTGGTAAGTGGAATATTGATGCAATGCTTGCAAATTTAATTGGTCTGCACTTGTTTTTCCTTTCCATAGGTTATTACCTGGCATAAGCATGTCTCATTTGTCTCTTACACATGCCCATGCCACATTATTTGCAACATACAGTTAATGCCAAAAAACTGTTGCATCAAGAAAACTGAAGGTATTTATTCAAACAAGCCCCTAAATATTTTGCTCCCTCCAACACTGCAAAACCAAGCTTGCTTCTCTACTTCTAAGGTTGATATATGCTTTTTGGAAGACAAGAAAGAGGACATTTGCAAGCACCATATAAAGTACAGTTGGTAAACAGAAAATCTCAAAATAATAACATCAGCATCTAAGGTTTATTAAGCAACTACTACATGCCAGGAGACTAACTAATCATTTTATATACATCATCTCATACTCATAACCACCAAATGTGGTAGATTCTATTACATCCTGATTACAAATGAGGAAACTGAGGCTTAGGGAGGTTAATGAGCTTGTCTAAAATGATATGGCTTGCAAGTTAAGCTAATACTTTAATCCAGGGTCGACTGATTCCTGGACCTTGAACTCAACCACTGCATTCTTTTATTAACACACATTAGAATCCAGCTACTATTCTGATGACTGAAAATCAGCTCCGTATCCTTCTCTGGTAGGCTTTGCAATTATTTCAGATGATAAGTTTAGAGTCTCAGTTTAATCACCCACCAGTGCCTCCTCCATAAAAGGTCCATCCTGAGTATTTCAGGTTTATTTTGGTTCTAATGATAGATATAAAATTATGCTTAAACAAGAGTGCAGTCAGTAATTGAATAAAGGGCTGACAAGTTAGACTTGATTTCTCACTGTCAATGCTCTATTTCCTATTTCCACAACATTGCTGTCAAGCATGGGGCACAGAGAGCCTGAGCACACTGGGAGCCCTACATACACCGGGCACTGTGCTCAACTCTGGCAACACAAGAAGGAGTGAAAACAAGAGTTTGTCTCCACATCCTCAGAGCTCTTAACAGTGGAACAGGTAACCCTTAATCAAAGGATCACAGAAATAAATATAAAATTACTACTGAGATAAAGTGCTGTGCAGGAATAAGATATGTAAAAATGAGAGCAAGAAACAAGACATCTGGACTAGCCCAGGAGACCAAGGAAAGCTTCTTAGGAAAGTAACACTGGAGCTGAGATCTGAGAATGATTAGCAGAAAAGAGAAAGGAGGAGAATGAAACAGACTTCCCTGCCAAAGGCACAGAAGGTTGCAAACATCCTGGGTAGGGAGGAGGGTGGGACCTCGGCACTTCAGAACTCCCAGCCAGTGTGGCTGCCCGGCGGAGGCAAGGAGGGTGTGGTGTAGGAAGAGTCTGTGCGGTGGAAGACCCAGTCCCTGAGGAGCCCATAGCTAATGAGGAACAGAGATCACCATTCCCACGTGCCACTAAGTCCGGCTGTGAGGTAGGGACCAGAATGAAGACAAATGGACCTAACAAATGTCTCCTGAGGTACCTGCCAGGGAAACTGGATATGATGAGAGGGACAGAGTGATAAAGAGTCAGTGATGATTTCATGTAACAAATGTACTTGTAGAAGAAGTGTCTGAAAGGGAACTTACACCGAGATACTCAGTGTTTTCTAGAAGCCTCCTCACTGCCCTCTTAATGGAGGCAGACAGGACTCTGGTTTCCACTGCCCCACAGAAAGAGGGTCATCGCCAAGGACACAAAAAACAAAATATGTTCATTACTGACCTGGAAGCTTCCAGATCCAGACCCTGGCCATTTAAAAGCCACTTTGAGAAATTCTCATGGGTAATTTTAATAGGCTTTGAAGCTATAACCACCTAATAAAACTTCACACACCAACCCAGCCTATCAGGTCCTTTTTGAACAGCACTTCACTGATTTAATCTCTGAAATCTATTAGAAGAGTTTTGAGGTAAGAAGAATGAAACATCAGAAAGAGTGAGTGGTTTATCCAAGGTCACACAGCCAAGGAAATGGAAAAGGTGAAAGTTGGTTCTTGGTCATCCTGGCTCCAAAACTAAGTTCTTTCCATGAAAAGAAAGAGACCCCCTCCCCGAGTTCCCCTGGCAGCAATCACTCCAGCTTACCTTTCCACTTCTGGACGAAGGGCCTTCTCCCTCTCGAGCATGGCAATGATGAGTTTCCCCCACTCTTTTTCTATGTCATTTGGATGATAACCTTGAAGCAACTTGATGCGTCCAAATTCTATCCATATCTTGATAAAAAAACAAAGAAAATATGTAAAAATAAGGAAATAAAGGAAAAATTATTATACTTGACAATACAAAGGAAATTTCTGCTTACCTCTAATAATTTATATAGGCGTTTGATTTTGGATTTTTCTGTCTCCTTTGGTGGAATTTCTGTTTCTTTAAACTGTAAATACTGATTGTAAAGTGCCTAAAATGAAAGGGAAAATATATGAAGGCTCCAACTTCAAAGACCTGTTTTCACTACTGCATAATGTTACCACTTCAAATGCTACTGACAGTGTCATGTACGTTCAGGGGGAGTCCTGCATAACATCGACACTCAAGGAGCATGCCGACTGCCAGCTGGTCGGCAACCAGGTTAGAGCACACAGACTTGATGAGGTGTAACTAGTGATGTGCACTGTGATTCAACATGTGCTCCACAGGCATCTGGATAATAATGAACCCTGGTCGTGTTTACTATGGTTCTACTAAAAACCTTTCATCATACAAACAAGAAAACACAATCTTTAAAAGCAGTACTTTCCAACTGTGGCAAATTAGCTTTTGGAAAAATAATCTGATGCAATTCCCATAAAGGGAAAAAAGTCTGTCTTGTGTATACTGTGGATCTATCCTTGAAAATAGAATTTTTATCAGCTAGATGGAGCTAAAATTTGGTTTCACTGTCCTACTGGCCAAGTTAAACAGATCTCTTAGTAAACAAAGATAAATGTCATTGATTACTGCTTTATTATGGATGTCTCAACCATGTAATTAAATTATTATCTAGTTTGCAGATACTAATTTAGAATCTCTTATATATAATTTATCATATTTACTAAAAAGGACCTTCATAAAAATTATATAGATATAATATCTCCAAATGTATTAAGTGTATACTAATTATTTCATGCTGGTTTTTTTTTAAGTCCTTTTAAATCTTCAGGCAGATACATTTCTGAAGGACTCCATGCAATGTTTTGCTGGCTAATCAAATTACAGGCATTTTCCCCATATATATTTTCTTTTTTATATTACATCCTAACCTAAGCACCAGCAAGTAACCTGGATAATCACTTAAATGTTTTCTAAAACTTTAAGAATCTGCATTAATCAGAAGCCAGTACAAATTTACCCAAGTGTCTAGACAATAGGAATCCATTTGGAAGTAATATGCACTTGAAATCTGAAAAGTATTTTAAACTTAAAATGCAATGTTTGAAGACATCCATCAATAAATAAGCACAGAACACCATTATATGCGAAACGCTGTTCGTGGTAGATGTGGTGATAGAATGGGGAAAGTTTCTTGCCCTCGAAAGGTTTACATCCATGTAGGGAAACTTCACACAAACAACTTTAGCACACTTAAGAAGCATCCTATCAGCACAGTCAGCACAGGCCAAGTAACTCTGTGCCAAGGACAAACTCCCTGTGGCAGTGTGAATTAAGAGCTGTTTCACAGATGTTCTCTACAGATATGTGAGCACAGCAAATAACTTGAACAGGGCCCACGCTGGATTAGGACAATTTTTGTGATTCCAGTTTGATCATGAAAACAAATCTTATAATTCAAGGAATTAGACTTTGTTGTTAACATTCACATTACCAGTTTCTTGAAATAAAGCAGGCTATTTTGCAACCATAAATCCTAATATTACAAAATGAGGCAATACATTCTTCAATTAAGTGTCTATATGTATAATGTCTTTTATATTTCTAAAATTTTTTTGCCTTAAAGAGTTAGACCTGTTTTTTTTTTAGGTAGCAGCAAATGTTTTACTAGACCATTAATTAATTTATACCAGGAATCAGGTATGTATTTTCAACTTCATAGTGAAATATAGCACATACCTCTTACTACACAGAAGAAGGTTCTGAAGCAGTTTTGATGAGGCACACTCCCGGCCACTGTCACCCGTGTGCAAGCTTCCCAGGGTCCCTCCCACCCCAGCCATCCGGTGGGCACCAAGCATTTCCCACACACCGAAAAACATTTGGCAAGGTCACGTCCAGAGAGTCTCTCAAACCTTAAAACACTCAATTCAAAGCTAAGGGACTATAAATTTCTTTACGATGTCATTGCTATTAAGTTTTAATGACTAATGTTTACCACCATTTTCTCTTTATAATAGGGAGAGGAGGACATTTTTTAATGCCTACTTATTAGTGGCATGCCAAAAGTATTTTTTCTTGGACTTCTAAAATAACAGAATTATCACCACATTACTTAGCAGTTTAATAATCAAGTCAATCCTACCTCGCTCCTGAGTGCCACTGACCTTTAGTTCTATAGGATTATTAGGAAATGTTCTGTCAGACATTGTGGTCACATGGTGTCGAATCCACTGGATGAGGTAGTTCACCATGTTCTGGTATTCAATCCATTTGACTTCAACATCCTAGAACAAAAAAATGAAGGCCCCTGTCTGTAGACAATAACATTCCTATCTAACACAATTTAGTCAGAGGTCATTCTGTGAATTTACTCCTTTAAGCCTGGCAGAGAGAACCGGCTAAATGGTTTTTTTTTGTTTGTTTGTTTGTTTGTTTTACTTTCCATGTAGTCCCAGTCCTTTCCACTTAAACAGCTTTAAATGCATCCTATCAACATTTGAGCCTCAGAGCAGCCTAATGAGCGCCAGTTCTGATCCAGAGACAGTGGCTGCCTGAAGCTCTGTGTTGAGAAGGGTTCTGAGGCAGCATCCAAGCACAGCAGAAGAAACTTCCACAATCAACTTGCCAGGGGCTCAAGAAGGGGGAATGATAGCTTGCCTAAGCCTGGCTGGGTGCCAGTCTGCCACCCTTTTCAGATGTAAGTCCATTGTATGTATAAAACTCAAAAGAGCCATCCAGTATATAAGAAACTAGGTAGGAATAAAAACTACAGAAAATGTATATGATGGGATTGCTCAAGTACTCATTTATCAAACTTTTTAAACATGAAGGAAACTGGCAGTCTGTCAACTGCTCTACTCAATTAAGTATTTGATGAGTGCTCATTATGTTTAAAGCATTGAGCTAAGTGTTATAATAAAAATGTAACTTTTAAGACATAATTAATACCTAGTATGAAAGAGTTACTGTCTACATAGCAATGCAAGAGAGGTTCAAAATATAAACAGCTGAACAAAATGAAAAGCAGTATTTAATGAGGTACTGAAATAAATGAAAGAGGTAGTATATGCCAGGAGTTGAGATAAGAGGCAGATAAGCATAAGTGTGCCCCAAATGGTCACTAAAGGCTTCTTGGGTGAGGTGGTCCCTGAGCAGTTCCTAAACTTCCTGTAAGCACACTTTTTTGCCCAGACTTTTGAGGAAAAAATAAAGAAGCACCATATATATATATATATATAATATCTTATATCTGTTCTTGTGTTTTATAATTATTTACTATATAAAACTTCTTCTACCATAATATGTTCAAAAATAAATGCTAAACTCCCTTTATAATACCAAAAAAAAAAAAACCCCAAGTATCTAAATATAAATAAATAACTACCGGTAAATGAATTAAAAAATGAAAACATTTAAGTTTTTTTTCCCTGAAAGTCTGGTCCAAAAACATGGCAGTACATTATACACGGCAAAATACAGTAATTGTTGGTGGAGGATGGGGAAGACTGAGTAAAAGTTAAGGGAGTCCCAAGTGAGTCAGGATCTGAAACAGAAATGCCCAGGCTACCAGCAAACAGTTCAAGTTGAGGTGCATAGCTCAAAATGAAGACAGGTTGAATCCATATATGCAGAATTTTGAACGTTAGCATATCTGGACTGGATTTAATCTTGCAAGCCACATGAAGCCACCAAATGTTTTCAAGCTAATTTGGTGACAGTGTGCAGGGTTTATGGGAAGAGAAAAGTAATGGGCGATGGAAAACCATAAGAAAGCCATCATCCTGGTTCTAGTGTAAAGGGGTAAGAGCCAGGAATGGGGTGGAGGTAGGCAGAGAGTGGAGCAAAGAATGGTCACCAGAAACATTCTCAAGCAGCACTCAACACTGAGTCATTGGAGAACTACACTGAATCAGAGAGGATGAACAGGAGCAAGTTACTTAGATATCAGTAAAAGGAGTAGATAAAACTTTTGAGAGAACAAGAGGATGAGTGTGGAAATAAGTCTAAAGACAACAGCATACAGAGGTGAAGTGAAAGACCAGAAAAGAGAGCTCACCAAAATGAGCTCCTAAATCTTCAAAGTAAATTTTTTAAAATGGTACTTGCAAGGTGGAGAGGAGAAGCCCAGAGTAAGGGGTGATCACCCCCAAATGCATAACACATATAGGGGTTCCTGTCTCTTCCAGAAATGCATAAGCACTTGTTAGCACGACCACTAAAAATGAACAATTGAGCTGAATTACACAAATCTTGGTGGACTGTAGATAAAGAGTCCAAAGCTATGTGTCAGAGACCCTGCCCTGCATGCACAGTAGCTCTGCCAACTTGGCAAAATACATAACCTTCCTCTGGGTCTCACTACTCAGTGAGAAAGTACCGAGCCACCTACTCTCATGGAAGCATGTGAGCTGACAACTTGAAAGTGACTTCAAATGTGAAATACTCTATACAAATATATCAAATAGAGCAGTTATAAAAATAGCAACAAGTTAAAAATGAGAATCTCCAAAGTTCAGTAGTTTATAGATGTTCTTTATGAAATGACCAATAACTGTGAATAGCCTACTTTATGACACAGAACACATTTTGTTATATTTTAATTTTAATGGTGGAATGGCTCCATTAAAACACATGCAATATCAGTTTAATAAATAGCATATTAACTCAAATTCTTTAAAAATATTTGATAGTTAAGAACGGTTTAAAAAGCACTATCAAAGAATTCAGTTAACTGGGCATTGCTGAATCAGAAGCTTCTAGTATGGAAAAGTCAATACTCACATTTGCACCGATGCCTTCACCACCTTCCGGGACTTTGGGAAAGGCATCATAGAGAGATGACACATACGTTATTACTGACTTTTCATCAGGAGAGGAGACATCAACATCTAAAAGCAGCAACAGAAGTTATTTCAAAATATTGAGAGATCACTCTCATTCAAACACGCAGGCCAGTCTACATCAGGTCACAACAACAACTCACCTTCTGGATCCAGAAGTCTGATAACACCAATTTTTTCTGCTACATAAAAAGCGTGCTCTAAATTTGCGAGGTTGCTTTGAACAGCAACAGTATTCATGTCTATCAGGTCCGGCCTAGGAAGAAATTCACTGTGTCAATTACATTTCTCATGTGCCAATTCAACATCATATTTACATGTGTAACGATTATATAGCAACTGCTGCAAACATTGATACCAAGTCCGTGTTAAGGAGATTTTCATCAAACATTGCTTACTTTTCTCAGAAACTTTTGTGTGGCAAAGGCAAGTGTAATGAGGAAAATATAAAACTCTGAATATGTATAACTTTTGGCAAGGTTTATGAATCCCTCAAAATCAGAATCTATATAAACGTCTGTCCTATTCAACTCATGTAATTTCCACTACTCAACAGTATCCTTCCAGTCTAACCAGCATCCTCTCAATGTTTCTCCCCAAACACAAAAGCTTTTACCCAGTTCAATGACATGCCTGTGGCACCCCCATATCCCAGAAGTCCTTTCCTGTCACTGTTGTCTCCCATGATCCCACTCATCCTTGCAAGCAGGGATCAAGTTCCACCTCCTCTGTGGACCCCTCACCTTCCCAGCTCTCAATTTTCTCTCTCTGTTCCTCAAACTCCTCATACTCCTGGGCCTGTGCCAGTCAATTTGGCACTTAGAATAATCACACACTTCCTTGCCCTATTAATTCACTGTTTAATGTGCACATCTTTGTTTCTCCCAACTGGTCAACATCAAGATGGCAAGAACCATGTACTAATATGCAATTGTATTTTATCCTTCTGCTGAGATAGAGAGGAACATACTTGGTAGACATTCAACAAATACCTATAGATAAGCCAGTAAACAGGTTAGTTAGTTAGTTAGGAATTTGAATAATAAATAACTAAGCACTAGTTTGTATATTTGCATGTCCACACACACACATACATCATGCTCTTACACCTCAGTCTTCATCTCTTTCTAATTTGTAAGATTGACATGATACTCTAAACCACAAGGATACCTAGCTCTATCTCTGTAAGACAAGAAAAGACTAAAATACCCTTAAGTTAGGAGGTAAAATACAGCAGTTGGAAACTTTACTCAAGGTCAGAAGCCAGTCAGGAAACTTTCATCTCAAAAATAAAGCATTAAAAGAACGCAGAAACAAATGTGGAAATAGTAAAGCCTTCAAAAAAGAGTGGCACCCAGTCCCAAAATCGCTGAGTTAGAACCTGTTTGTCAGCTTCTAAGTGAAGGCTCTCTGCGTCTACAGGCATTCTGTTTTAACTGCAGAAGAGAGAGCGGGAGGGCCCAGCCGTAGTGTGCAACAAGTGAAATGCACGTTGCTTTGAGTACTACTTGGAAGGCTGTCTATATGAGAAACTCTTTGAAAATATGTCATTAATCTTAGGAAGGAAAACAGCAATTTGTACTCCTATTTTTATCTGATGAGACTACAGACTTCCAAAGAATCTAGTTACAGTTACACAGCTCTTTGAAATGTTCATTACCTTGAATTATAGCTACCATCACCCACCTACTTATTTCCCAGGAAATTTTTATGCTTTACAATTTCACCAATTTGATCACTGAAAAGTGATCTTACATTTATTATAGAAGCAATAAATCCACTGAAAACAACAGAAGAGTTAAGTGACATGCCTCCAGAAATAACATTTTTTATTCACATAAAAGCATTTTATTCACATGACCCATTTTGAAGAATCTGCCCGCTTCAAAATTACTGAACAGGTATGTATAACATTCTTGACAATAACAAATATCTAAAGTTCATAAAACTGCTTTGCTTCCATAAAGTTCACACATTTTGAGGAAATAAAAACCAGCCTTTCTGGGTTTGCCAAATCTCCCAACAAGAAAGAGCATGTTGCTATGTGAACCCTGCCATTAGCAAAGAAAGTGAGCACTGAGTAATCCCAAGCAGAATGAATAAAGTCATTGAAGAATCAAGTTTTTGAGTAAGAAAATAAAACATAAAACTTCCTCCTGAATGACACAGTCATTTCAGCACAAAAGAAGCTGGATGAGTTTGGATAAATCACCTCTTCATCATGATAGTTAACACTTTAATGAACAAAAACTGAAACGGTTTTTGACCATTAAAAAATGACAGTAGACAAAATTAAGCAAAAAAGCAAAAAAGGATACAATTCTAAAACCAGTACAAAAAAGTAAAGTCCTGTCCCTCCCCAGTCATCTGCTAACGTTGGTCATTTTAGCCTTCATACTGCTTCGCCTCCATGTGTCTGAAGCCTCCAGAAGTCACACATGTTGTGACCTGTCTACCTTCTTTCTTTCTTTGTAGTCTTTCTGGGATAATATAATATTTAAAAGCTTCAGCTATTTTCCACATAAAGAAGATGGGTTTCATTTCACTGTGCTATCTCCTTTTTCTATAGTATTAATAGGAAATTTCATTCCCATCTCAGGTTTCACTAACCAAGGACAACACCATACTTTTGGCATGTAGAAGATAGTAACCATGTTCCTGTATTATAGTTTAGAAGTTAAGCATTAACTATTCTGACTTCCTTAATTGCTGGAAACCTTTCAAAATCATATAAGATAATCCTTTGCCGCCTAAAATAATATATCATAGTCCTTTTATGAAAAAGAGGCCACTCTAACTTCTATGATAATGCAAAATTTTCTAAATGGCTCAATCATCATAGATTGCAATTATAAATATATACTGTTTATATGCCATCATTTTTCTATGAATTTTTAAAAACAGCTTACAAAAAAAGGAAAATGTAAGAAAATAACAAATTTTAAATTAGAAGTAGAAAACCAAAACAGGCCATAAGATAAAGTTTCAAATGAGGCCAAAAAAGAACAAACCACTCATACATGCATGCTTAGTGCAGTAATTTGTTCCAAAAATACAGGATAAAAAGGCACCAAAAATATGGCTATTACCACTATACCAAATAATTTTGGATAAAAGTAATGCTTATCTTTCATACAACATGCATCTTTTAAAAAGTATTCTCTATGGACAAAATAGATATATATCTACATCCACACATACATACACATGTACATACTGGTATACACATGCATCCATATGTGTACATGTATGTGGATACATGACAGATAACCAAACTAGCAAAACATTAAAATTGCATAAGAAATTTTTTTTTGCCTTGGCCAGCTAGTTTAGTTGGTTAGAGGTTCATCCTGATATGCCCAAGTTGTGAGTTTGATCCACATATAAGAATCTACCAAAGAATGTATAAATAAGTGGAACACAATTCATGTGTTCCTCTCTCTCTCTCTCTCTCATCAATAAAATAAAAAATTTTTAAAATTTTGGCACAGACAGTCCTCAAACTTTATGAATTTATTAGCTTGCATGAGAATTACATACAATTCTGAGAGAAAATGCAACTATAGTTAATAATATTATATTGCATATTTGAAAGTTGCTGAAAGATCTTAAAAGTTCTTTTCACAAGAAAAAAATGTTTGTGACTATATGAGATGATAGATGTTAATTAGACTTATTGTAGTGGTCACTTTGCAATATATACAAATATTGAATCATTATGCTGTACATCTGGAACTAATAATGTTATATGTCAATTATACTTCAAGTTTTTAAAAATCCCACAATACTATCAGATAAGTGTTACAAGGCAAACATGAAAAGACATAAACACAAATGTGCCTACTGTTTTATGCCCTCAGTAAGAGACAGCAACATTTTTATCTCTTTTTCAGTGTTGATTTTCATTGTTTAAATCTAGAGGAGAAGAACACATGTAGGATTGGGGGTGGGGAGCATTTCATGTTAGCCCAACTCTGAAATACATAGTAAATGATGAAGTCTAGAAAAGACACCATTTGGTAACATATTTTTGTCTTTTTCTGTCTCACTTGGTAACATTTTTTAAATCACAACCAAAAGCATTTAACTCTGTGATTTGAGCTACCTGATCACCTGGAAGGACGGTGGGCAGCAATTTTCTTTCTCAATTAAAAAAAGGGCAATAGATTATACCCTAAGAGCCCTGAAACACCAATCCAAAAGAACCTATGCACCCCAATGCTCATAGTAGCACAATTTACAATAGCCAAGCACTGGAAGCAACCTAAGTGTCCATCAGTAAATGAGTGGGTCAAAAAACTATGGTACATTTACACAATGGAATTCTATGCAGCAGAGAGAAAGAAGGAGCTCCTACCCCTTGGGACAGCATGGATGGAACTGGAGAGCATTATACTAAGTGAAATAAGCCAAGTGGTCAGGGACAACTACCATATGGTCTCACCATTAACTGGAACCTAATCAACAAAAGAAAAATGCAAACAAAATATAACCAGACATTGAAATTAAGAACAATCTAATGATAGCTAGAGGGGAGCAGGGAGGGAACAGAGGGGAGAAGGGTTTTCAGGAACAACTATAAAGGACACATGGACAAAACTAAGAAGGAGGGTGGAAGTGAAGGAGGTGGGTTTGGCTGGGGTGGGGGGAGTGGTGGGGAGAAAATGCAGACAACTGTAATTGAACAACAATAAACTAATTTTTAAAAAGGGCAATAGAAATCAGAATGGTGGTTGCTAGGGGCGAGGGGAAGATGGGGAGTTACTGTTTAATGGATATACTTACTATCTTAGTCTTGTGAGATGGAAAGAGTTCTGAAAATGGATGGTAGTGATAGTTACACAACAATGTGAATGTACTTAATGCCACTTTACTGTACACTTAAAAATGGTTAGGATAATAAATTTTATGTTAGTGTATTTTACCACAATGTTTAAAAAATTTAAGACTCTTTCTACATATTGAGAGTAAAGGTGATATGGACATGAAAAAAAATTAAAGGATGTGATTCAAGTATCCCGTGATTTAGTCCTAATTTGCTATTTAACTTAGAACACTAATCTAGAAACCTGTATCTCAGTTTCCTTCTACAAAAAAAATGGAAATCAGGAATTACAATAATCATTTAGAATTCCAGTTCCCCCTAAGGAGCCTCTGGAAATATGTGTGGGGGTGGAGGGAGGATATTTGGGGCTGCTACTGCCATAAGGTTTAAAGAATCTAACAGATTTGCCCAAGGTCTCAAGAGAGGAGCCA